TGTCTCACTTGTCATTCTAAATCCAAAGTCTTTTTACAATATTGAATTCTATCATATCGAATTTCGCACCATATTATGTGAAATTTTGGGTTAAACTACTGGTCCTATAATTAAGTTTCCCTTTTCCAACATCTATCCATCCTATGAAATTATTCTATATATGATATTAATTATTTTGCCACTTGACATTAAACTATGATTATAATCACAAACATATCAATTTTAATTGCATTTCTTACTACTATTATTAATATTTCATGTATTCACACCTTTGACCTAATTCCCTCACCGGATATAATTTATGAAAAAACCATATATATACGATTGTACAGCTTGATAAGTTCGTTGAAAAGAGTCTCTTTGCTGAATATTGTGTTCATAATCATTTCATCAATTATAATCACACAACTTCCAAACATCCGTTGTGTAGTTTTCGTTATTCTTTCTTATTCGTCATCGTAGGGGCAGTAGGATTTCCCAAATGTCTGCAACACATCAACTCTAAGGTAGAGGTAATTCAATTCATTTATGAATTGGAAAGCTAAGAAGAGGAGATTTCAAAGTTAGATTGTAGCGTAAAAAGAAAAGAAGATGGGAAGTCAAACACTAGTGTGTGTTTACAGCAAACTTACACATTCAAACCGATATTTGGATTTCGGATCATCCCACTCTATGTCAGTAATCATAGGATTAGTGAAATGTTCAAGTAGCAGGGCAGAAAAACTAAGTAGTATCAAGGAAAATCTAAGACAGGAAGTTAGGTGTATAAGAGATGCTTTGAAACTTAATAATTACCCGGATCAATTCGTCAGAAAATATGTAGGAAAATGTAAACATAAAATTAATAGTAATTAGTAGTAGTGATAGTGGTAATAATATTAGTGACGATATGCATGCCAAACATACACAGGATAATGACAACACCAACAATAGAGAATCTAAATCATCATTAGTACTTCTATACAAAGAAGGAACCTCGGAAACCTTACGGTGGAAAATTTTTAGCAATGCAGGAATAAAAGTGGTTGGCATTCAAACCCATAATATCAATTAGAAATAAGCTTTGTCAGTTAAAAGATCCTGTAGAGCCAATAAAAAACAATGATGATTGTCAGGTCAAATAACACATAAGTCAAAGTGGTGGGACACGGCAGTCAGACTAGCGGAGGACAAAAACCCAGCAGCTAAATCTGGATTAGATAGTGTGAAATATTCCCATATTATGAATTAAAAGTCAATCCGAACGAAGAATATTCTTTTCAATAATTTCTTCTCTTCAGGTTCTTACAGTAATAAAATATAATATTTGTTGTCGTTACAATGAAGGCCAGTTATGCGGCGGATACATTTTTAACGTAGAATAACAGATTAGCAGTTATGGTGTGTCAAAATAAATAGTCGTATTTGTGTGACAAACGTGCCAGGCTGAAATGGATTACAAAATGTTGTAAAACGGGAGACAATGGTGATGATTAATCAGAATAGATTTGTAGAGTGTGAGGTAGGAAAATTGACAAGTCAGTTCAAGGTTATAAAAGGTGTCAGGTGAGTGGCTAGTACAAAGTGGTCTGTGTTAAACAGGAGATAGTGAGACTGCAGTGAGAGAGGTTCATAGTGAAATAATGAATATGTGAAATGAAACAGGTGGAGGCATATATTGAGAAAAGGGATAATATCACTAATAATAAGTCAGGATAGTATAAATGAAAAACTAAATTCGATAGTATTGAGGGAATGTTTGCATGAAGGGCACAAATTATGACGAATAATAATAATAATAATTGTAATATAATATTTGTAATAATAAGCAAAGGAAAAAAAACCAAGAGGGTTAAGGAGAAGGAGCACACTTGGTGAGAAGAAGAATCATCAATCCAAGTTTGGCCACGGTAGGAATAGCGTCTGGACGTATTCTTTTTGGATACAAAGTTCTGGTTTAGTCGGTCTTATTGCAACAGCTTCAGCTATGTGTAGGAGACGTAAGCGAAGTGTACGTGATAACGACTTCGGAATTCGGTATATAACCCTGAGAGCTGTGTTGACATCGAACGATGTCCAGTGTCGACCAAATGTGACAGGATCGAGCTTTTTATGCACTTAATTTCCCCCCTGCTGAACCAAGCTGGTAAATGTTCTCGAACCCGTAGAGGAACCTGCCTAATCGTGCGCCCTATATAACTTGAACCACAGGAACAGTTGAAATGGTATATGCATGAAGAAGAGCTAAGCTTAGGTAAAACATCTTTATTGTAACGACAACAAATATTATATTTTATAACTGTAAGAACCTGAAGAGAAATTATTGAAAAGAATATTCTTCCTTCAGATTGACTTTTAAATCTAGATTAGTTGACATTAATAGGATAAGAAATCTGGAGAATAGCTCGGCTACAGCACTCACTATATGCAATTACACACAAACAGACAATATAAGATGGAATAAGATGACAGTTTTTTAAAATCTAATGTAACAGGGTGCAGGGAGGCAGGGACTGATAATGCAAGCCTTATTTATCGAATCAATTGAGAAAACGTGTAGTAGGAATGATTCAACACCTGTCCACACGGACATCTGGAAAATTCTACTACCCCTCCGATGACAAATAGAAAGAATAAAGAAGAATATAAAACTCAAGTTCCGAAGTTGTGTGATTATAATTGATGAAATGATTATGAACAATAATAGATTGTGTTCGAAACTTCTTCATCCAGTAAATAATAATACTGTTTCACCGTGTTACATGTGCAACAATGTTTACATAATGTACAGGTTCATCAGCGGACTTTGTTACATGATATTTTCTGACCGTCGAGGATCTTCAAATAAAAGATTTGATTGGATGGAGGATTTCATCATGAGCTGACATCAGTTAGAGAACCACTGAAAAACCTGGGAGTACTGGACAGCTGTTTCGTCCTAGTTTGGGACTCTTCATCAGTACGCAAAGAAGATTTGATTGACAGTAGATCGTGTGACATAGTTCTATCTGACCTGAAGCACAAACCAATCCGCCATTATGAAATCTCTTCCGTCTTCTGCCTCGAAAAATACACGACAACACTTTGTTGAATGCCGATTATGAAAAGTTCAGAAGTATATTCTGTGAACTAACAATACCTCATCTCATGCATTGGGATAAGCTGGCATAACAGTTGTACACCACAACCGACACTTCGATGCATGTATATATACGCTTTTGTAAGCAGCTGTCGTTCGACCTCTCACCAGCGTTCCCATCACTGCCGCATTCGCTGCCGGCTCCTGGATGCCCACCAACTTAATACCGGCCTGGAAAAATGAAGGCCACGGGAGGCAGAGAAATCAGATGTAATAGAAAAAATGCGGTGATATTTGGTGACATAATTGATTATTTGGCAAGATGACGTACAGCGATAACAAGACACATAGAAGCTTACATTGAAGCTTTAACTTTCGAAAAATATTCATATTCTTTTTCTTTTGTCTTCAGTTCATACTTTCTACATTTCTCACAATTATCTTCATTTCTTCTCATTGTACTACTTACAAAATCTAGTCAGTAGCATGCACCACGTACATGGATGTTTCAAAGTTAGTGTGAGGGTTGAGATACTGCCTGGAGGCCAGACCAAAACAGGTGGTCGTCTTAAGGGACCACCATCTCCCGGAGCCCTTGACTTTCTGTCTCATCCTCAACACAGCGGAGCAGCATCAAGAGCTACTTTCCGATTGTTGCTGGTGACACTAATACAGGTCCATACGCCATTCAATCCGACTGGATTCTGTAGCCCATGTAGCCCATAGTAACTGCTTTTAGTCTAATCGCTATCTAAACAACCCTCCTGGCGCGGTAGGACCTGTCAGTGTAGTTTGTTGGTTACTGCGGTATGCAAGTCCAACCACCGCGTCAAGGTAGCAGTTATCAACTGGAGTATCTTTCAGAACCATTGTTGTTTTTATACAATAGAAAGTGTATTATGCCATGAATTCGTGAATACCGTGGTTTATAATTCCTGTCTGTCAGTCTGGTTTCAACATAAGACTTTGAACTGGTGTGCAGCAGTTCGAGCCGCCACTCTCCCTCCATGTAACACACAAAGCCAGAGAAGAAAGTAGAAAGCAATGCAAAACAGAGACAGTAAACAGAGATGTGAAGCAAAAAGAATAGTAATATCGAAGAACAATATAGTTTTATAGGATATTGCGATTCACAAGGAGTGGATGTATCTGCACCAGCCATTGACAATGATTTCGAGTTGGCCATATCACCGATAATTGTCTCCAGCCTTCATTAGTTTTTACCATCCTGAGGACCCCAATCAGCAAGTCTACAGCTTCCTACGTGACTGGCTTAAACTAACTTACGGATTTCATTGATGCTGCCATGTTTTTGGTTTGTCCATCACTGGCTCTTTGCCAGCCTGATCCTTTGTCGTATGTCAGCTAACATTTCGCGTTGTTGAGGAATGTGATCGATAGCCAGGCATGCATGCGTAACACATGTCTTAACCACCTGTTTGAATCGGTGTAACTTCACAACTTTGCCGATTGATTTCCTCTCCCACCTATCTAGCACTTGACCGACGCCTAACCTGAATATTGCTCACCCTATTATATATTACATGGGAAATAGAACGCAGAAACCCATGATCAAAGACAGCTAGCTAGCCTGTCTTTTCATGTCTTCCACTTTCAATGGCCAGGCCTTACAGCCATAAAGGAGGTCTGAGGGGACTGCTGAGCAGTACACACGCCCTTTGGGCCATAACCAGCCGGATATCATGTCTACACCAGAGATGCCGTAAACTGGCATATTCGAAACCAGCTTTCTGTATCCTGTTTATAATGTACTGTTAGTAATCAACGTGACTCTATACACAAGTTTAAGATACTTTTTCTTTGTTTTTCTTGTTTTTTTGAGATCTCATTATTTCATAGACTGAATCACTTTTGTACTACTTATTGTATGTTACTTATTCACATTTCTATTGCTTACCGCTTTTTGATTAATTTTTAAAAGAACAAATTGACTGCTCGGTTATTTCAAAGTAATGGAGGCGGTTGTCAATCACCACTTGTCACTACATCGTTAAGAAGAAATTGGTAAGTAATTGTTTTTTTTTGTATTTTTGCTTTTATCATTCGTGTGCGTCGGTAGCACAGTGGTTATGACTCTCGCCGACCATGCGCATGGTCCGGAGTTCGATCTCCTGCCGACGCACACCTGATATCTATGGTCGGCCTGCAAAATATCATATGCTGAAAATTCCATCCTTGTACCAAAAATACGGTGTGGAATCAAGCTATAATAAAAAGAAATAAAAAAATACTTTGTTTTGCAGAGTTGTTTTGTTTTTAATAGTGATGTTTTGATTATTCTGTAACTATGTCTTCATATTCAAGTCTTAAAGAGTTATAAATTATGCTATAATGCGCTGGTGGTTCAGTGGGAGAATGCTTGCCAACTACGCTTCACGTGGTCCACGGTTCAAATCCCCCAACCGACGCACCCGTAAACCTCGCTTAGTTTACTGGTTGATAGTAAGACTGGAAAAGAAAGAGAGTTAGGCGTGGGGCTTTCAACACTACACCTTAAAGAAAACTGTTACTTGGAGCACAGAAGAATGAAGATGAAGTTGAGATATGAGTATGTTATCAGTGCCTTGGAATGATTTGGTTGAATAAGACATACTACATAGATACAGGAGTAAGACAAGGAAGGCTTCCGCCTATTATCACCCACAATGATATTCTTAATTGTGGTGGATTGACTGGAAGCGATGTTACCAGGAAATAATCTTATGGACTTAGAATATGCAGATGACATAGTCCTGTTAGGGAAGGATGCCGACAAAATGCAGAGTCTTTTAAACACCTTGAGCAGCAATCTTCGTATGTTTGGCATGCGATTCGCCCCTGTAAAATGTAAGATGCTGCTACAGGACTGGACTACGTCAACTCCTAGCTTAGTGATAGGGAGTGAAGCGATAGAACATGTTGACCACTTCACCTATTTGGGAAGTTGAATCAGCACCAACGGATTGATTGGTGACGAAATCTCAACACGGATCCAAAAAGCTCGGGCTGCTTTCGCTAACTTACACCGTCTCTGGTGTAGGCGTGACATCCGACTATCAACCAAGGGACGTGTGTACTGCTCAGCAGTTCGCTCCGTCCTTCTCTATGGCTCTGAAACATGGCCAATACGAGTTGAAAGATATGAAGTCGTGACCAGTAGGGTGCAGCAGGTCGGGTGTGAGGACAAATACTCGCCGAAGACATTGGCTAGGGTTCGCGCTATGTCGCGAATTGGCAGAAGTTAGAATTCATGGGCCGTTGGATCGGGTCCCAGTGGCTTAATGGTATACGAGCTTGCCTTGTAACCAGAAAGTCCTGGGTTCGAACCCCAGTGGTGGGTGCGTACTGATGAAGAGTCACAAACTAGGACGAAACAGCTGTCCGGTATTCCCAGGTTTCCAATGGTTCTCTAATCAATGTCAGCTCATGATGAAATCGTGAAACCAATCAAATCCCTACAAACGTGTCACGAGAAGGATTTCCAACAGCCTGTTGCAGACTTTCATCAACAGCTGCCTCCGTTCCATACTGAAGATCAAATGGCCGGCCAGAAAGAATTAGCAACAAGAAGCTCTGCAGTGGAACAAACGAACAATCAAGAGCCGATCGCTTAACAAATATGTAGGAAAAAATAGAGATCAATCGAGCATAAGTTGAGAGGATGGCAGAAAATGGAAAAAGGTGGAGATTTGTTGTTGAAGCCCTATGTTCTACTTGGAACTCAAGGGGCGCGTAATACCTAATTTTTAAGAGTAGTTTGTCTGTTGAACATAAAGATCTAGGCGATTATTGTGAACACATTGACTTTCAGCTAAAAGATTGCCGGTTCGAAATCCTCTCTGCTTATCTCGGTGGTATCGTCAAACACCATGCATCTTATATATATTTGGCTTATAAACTGGCAGTTGAGTTTCTAACTAACAAACAGGAAAATGATGAGTTTGTGACCGATAATTCTGAATAAGTATATCAATTGTTTCACCTATCTAACCCTAAATAATAGACTACTATACGTAAATATAAATAAGATTGTATGGTCTTTAAAGTTGTGGATTCAATGAGTTTTATGAATTTTCGGCATACCATAAAGATGTGAAATCGTTGATCTGTTATTATTATTATTATTCCCTGGGGTTCCGAGTGGAACATGGGGTGTCAAATATCCAGATCTCTGAGATCCTGGACCTATTGCTGGTTTCAGAAGATTAAGCCCAATACATAGAACACTATGCACGGAACAACAGAAAACGGTTGGGCAACACATTTACTTATTCTTCAAGCGATAACCAAACAGATTTACACTGGTTAATTAGTGCTAAAGTTTCTGGTCGTATTTCTCCGATCTTCTACCAACCATTACACAGTTAAGCGATGACAGCCTTCTTGTCTCCCGCCAAATGGAGACCAGTTCGGACAAACAAACTATTCAGCGCTCACCAACATTGACATAGGGCTTCAACAACAAATCTCCACTTTCTTCTATTTTCTGCCGTCCTCTTCAGCTGCGTCCACGATTGCCTAAAATCTCTCATCTCCGCCAACTCTCACGACCCACTCGTCGCATTTCAATGGCATTCCGCTCGAGCGATGGCTTAGCTATGGTGCGATGTCATTCGATGGTCTCCTCAACGTATGCCCGATCCATCTCCATTTTTTCCTACATATTCACTCGTTGAGCAGTTGGCTCTTGCCTGTCGGTTTATTGCCAGCTAGAGTTTCTTGTTGTTAATTCTTTCTGGCCACTTGGTCTTCAGCATGGAGCCAGCCAGCGAAGGTGGTAGCTGTTGATAAAAGTTTTCAACCCTTTTGGAATCGTTGGTCTATGAAGGCTTTATTCTCTCTCTCTCTCTTTGTCTTAAAAATCTCAACACTGATTACTGAGTGTTTTTTCTCATTTTTGAGAGAATTTTCGTCCACTGCTTTTCTCACACCATGTGGTTTTGTGAATTTTGTGTTATCACATAAGAATTGTTGATATTTCTTTGTATATATGTATAGCCTAATTTGTTTGTTGTGTGTGTGTAGCTTAGCCAGAAATCGACGATATTTCAAGATTGATCACGGACTAACTTCAGTTAAACAGGCATACAAGGTAAGCCCGTTAACCATTGAGCCGCTAGTACGGAATCCAATAGTCCAATAATTCTAACTTCTACTAGACTATGTGTTATGGATGCCTAGCCATCGCCTTTCCCGACGGCTAATGTTAACTGACATAGGATCAGATTGGAAAAGAGTTAGCTAGTGGTGGTCAAACTAAAACTTAGAATCAGTCCGCGAAATCTTCGCCATCCAAATAGGAAGGTGTAGGCTTCCTGGTTGGGGTCCTCGGGACGGTAAGAACCAATGTGGGCTGGAAACAATTCGTGTAATGACTCAGAATCGTTCTCAATGGCTGCCGTAGATGCATTCACTCTTTATGATTTGCTTTATCTATTAAACCACCATGTTTGCCCATGTTACTATTCTTTCTTTCACTCTCACACTTTTGCTTGTTATCGTTCTTTTTAGTCTGTTTTTACTCTCTTTTGTCCTCCTTTGTGTGCTACATGGAGTGTTTGGCAATCTGAACTTGAATGCTTCTGTGCAAAGTTCAATGTTTAGACCAGTCAGTCAATCTGTCAATCCGCGATATATAGCGCGATCTCTAGCCAATGTCTTGCTCAACTTGATGGTCCCCTCTGAGCGAATGGTATACGAGCTCGCCTTGTAACCGAAAGATCCTCGGTTTGATCTATGGTGGTCTTTAGCGTGCGTACTACTGAAGAGTGAGAAACAGGGACGAAACAGATAACCGACTGTCCAGTACTCACTAGTTAGCAAAGGTTCTCTAACTGAAGTCATTCCGCGAGCAATCTTGAAATTTATCCTGTGAATGTTTACATTTTAGACAGTAGCCGAGAACGGTTGGCAACACTTCTTTATGAATCTTTAGTAAATCGTAAAGACTGTTCACGACTACTGTTTAAAATTTGAAAAATACAATAGGAGTCAATCAGTTTGCTTTATAAACCTTGACAGAACTATAAGTTGACGTGTGTTACTCCAGTAGTATATAACAGTAACGCTGCCTACACTAAGTTCATTGTCTGTTTATTTCCTTATTCTAGTGACTCACTGACAGACTGGTATCAACATAGAAATTTGCACAGAAGTGCGCTAGTTAAAGTTGCCACACTTCATGTTACACACAAAGCAAGAGAAGAGAGTAAAGAGAGATTCAAAACAGAGATAATTAACAGAAATATGAGGCAAAAAGAATAGTAATGTGGAAGAACAGTAGAATTTTATTGGGTATTATAAATCTCAAAGCCAGGAAGTCTTCACCTTCCTACGTGACTGGCTTAAACTAACTGTTGTGGATTTCATTGACTGATGCTACCATTTTTTTTTATTTAACCACCACTAGCTGTTTGCCAACCTTATCCTTCGTCGTATGTCAGCTAACGTTCCCCGTTGTCGAGGAAGGCGATCGACAGCTAGGCTAGGGACGCGTGTGTAACACATGTCCTAACCATCTCTCACAATCTGTGTGACTTCACAACCTCGTCGACTGATTTCCTCTCCCACCTACATATCACTCGACCGATGCCTAACCTCAGTACTACTCATTCTACTATACCACTGCTGAGCAGTACACACGTCCTGTGGTCAACAGTAGTATATCACGTCTACTGAGCCAGAGATGGCGTAGGTTGGTTGGCAAATGCCAAACGACACCTCCGTATCCGTATTAAGATTTCATCAGTGATCAACCTGCTGGCGTTGACTGATATAGCTCCTCAAATAATTGGGGTAAGTGGTTAACGCGCTCTACCACTTCAATCCTTGTCTTTAGGCTAGGAGGGAGTCAATTTAGTCCAGTCCCTTCCTGTGGCATCATCTTACATTTGACAAAGAGAGCGAATCACATGCTAAACATTCGAAGATTTCTCCTCCACAAGGTGTCCAAATGACTCCGTATTTTATGAAGATCTTCACCTAGAAGGACTATGCAATCCACACATTGTTTTGTAGTGCTTATTTAATGCTACTATGAAATTCAAAATTGAATATTATGTTAAGAAAAAGTTGTATAATGTATAAGTTCTACTAACATTTTCTCGTTTTTCTATCGTTAGGCAACAAATATCACAGGTCTTTTGTATATTCTTACAAATTCGTCTCATTATTATTATTACTTTTCTTTCTGTCATCATCAATTTATAGGATACCCGGTATAGAACGATGTAGTTTTCCATGTCGGCAGCCTTACTTTGATCCAGAGCATTATAAACTGGCTAGATGGATTACAGGTTTTGCTGCTATCGTTTGTCTATGCACTAATATCTTGACATTGGTAAGTGTTGGAAAAAAAGGCTATTTTTATCATTTAACATATTTCCCCCACCTCCGCCCTTCAAATCTACTTAGATCAAAATAAAGCTTGACAAGGTTCTGTCTCTTTGGCGTGAGATATGATTGTGTACTATAGTACTTTTTACTTTACTTTACTTCGGCTATCTCCTACGGGAGGATAAGCCGGCTTCATGAACATCGCGAATTGTAAGAGAGTTCATGAAGTTTCATGGGAATTTGGTACTAGTGATGTCCCCAGAATTGCTCGGCCTTTTGTTTGAGAGTGCAGCTCTAGCCTTTACACAACCAAGTGTGACCTACAAGGCAGTAGGAGTGGAGTAGGGAGTCCACTATCCATTGGCAGCCGGTGACCGGAGTTCGGTTCATACGCCTTTTTGAATGGGGCCAGACATCCAGGACATCCAACAAGCCCTTTGTCCATACGTGTGCCGGTGAGGTCCAGTGAGCTTCATACGCCAGTCGTTGGAGGTTTGGAATCAGGGTTTAGCCATCTTCCCTAGACTGTCATCCAATGGACGGTCAACCCGGTGAAGAGCGCCGGGCATCCGCTTTCGCCCTCTCACTTTGGTGAAAAACACCTCTGCCACGTGAAGGCAGTGAGTAGGACTTCCTCAGGAGAGGCTATGTAAGACGCCCGGTCATATGGGAGCATTTGAAGAGGTGTGCGGAGGGGTGGCCAACCCGCAGCGCAAGGCACCCACCCCCGACCATCCTGAGGCTTTGGAGTAAAACGTGCTATTAACACACCGCCGTATGCTATGACTATGAATGTGAATCTTTGCCTACATACAGTCAGTCTTCAGTATCTTTCTCTCAGTGTGGGAATAGTATTATTCTGTGATCAGTCATGTATTGTGTATTAAAGTAGTGCAGCGAAAATATTCATTCAGAAATTTAGAAAAAACAAAACAAAAAATTGAGCAAAGAATATCCTTTTCGATGATAATTTCCTCTTCTGGCTCTACGAGCTCGCTAGCCTTGTAACCTGAAGGTCCTTGTTTCGAACCCCTGTGGTGGGTGCGTACTGTTGAAGACCCCCAAACTAGGCCGATGAAATAGCTCTGCCTCTCCAGTACTGCCAGCTAGTTTTCCAATGGTTCTCTAACCAATGTCAGCTCTTGATGAAATCCTCCAATCAATCAAATAAAGTACCTACAAACGAATACTTGTAAATTATATATATGTGTTTATATACACAGAACATTTATTTATTATTTTGATTTTGATTTTATTTTGATTTACAGCTTGATTCCACACAGTATTTTTTGGTACAGGTATGGCATTTTCAGCATGGATATCGGTAGCCCAAATTTCGCAGGCCGACCATAGATATCGGGTGTGCGTCGGCAGAGGATCGAACCCCGGACCATGTGCATGGTCGGTGAGAGTCCTAACCACTGTGCCACCGACGCACACTAGAACAGTCATCATTAAGAATATTGGTACTTTTGAATACTATCTATTTCTTCAGATCGCAATGGAATTACAGTTCAAGAAAGGCACCTAAGTTATAATAAGCATAAAAATTTAATAGCGAATAGAATATCAAATAAAATTAAGGAAATTTCTACAAAAAACTGAGGATCAGTAAAGCTCTGATGGCCAAAGTAACTAAGGAAATTGTCTGAACCAACTTCTTCTTTTGGATACATACATTATTTAGGCTTCTTAATGTAGATCCCAACAGCCTCAACAATATGCAATAGACGAACTCTTCTTAAGGTAAAGTTAAGATTAGTTGGATTACGGTAGATGACTTCGTAGTCCTTGTTTACATCAATTGTGTGTTCTGTATCCACGAGATGACATCAAATAGAGCTATGAATGGATTTTGTTTATCCCTTATTTAACCACTATGCAGGATGGTGCTCGGAAATTCGACAATAAACATGCCTAATTGTACGGCCTATGCAACTAGCGTTATTCTTACAACTTCAGTTCCTCGGGGAAAACATCAGAGAAATATCAACACAACGCCTAAGGAATACAGCGGTAAAACGAAGAGTATTCAGTACTGCTGAATTATGCTGTATCTTCAAAACCACTTCTATTTTGCATTCGGGAGTTAAAGATAAACTGCCTTATTTCACCTCTTCTATATGTTTGGTTGGAGGATTTCATCATGAACTGACATCAGTTAGAGAATAATTGGAAAACCAGCTTAGAGTACTGAACAGTGAGCTGTTTCGTCCCAGTTTGGGACTCTTCAGTAAGCAGCTCATGATGAAATCCTCCAACCAAGCACATAGAAGAGGAGAAATTAGGCAGTTTTGAAGACACAACATACTCCAGCAGCACTGAATGCTCTTCGTTTTGCGCTGTATTCCTTAGGCTTTATGTTAATATCTCACTGATGTTATCCCCGGAGAACTGAAGTTGTAAGTATAATGCCAATTGCATGGGCCGTACCATTAGGCATGTTTATCGTCGAATTTCCGAACACCATCCTGAAAAGTGATTAAGTAAGGGACACCAAACAAAGTCCATTCATAGCTCTATTCTATATCATCTCGTAGATAAAGAACACAAAATTGATATTAACAAGGCGGCCTTCAAAGTTATCTGCCGTGTACCAACTGATCTTAACTTTACCTTAGTTGATTTTCTTCATTCTTTGTAAATTCTTGTTTTTTTTCTCTCTCTCTCTGTTCTTCTAGTTTACTCTTCGTTTACAATTAGCTGAACGTATGGAAATCACGCTACAACTCTCCAGCTACATACATCGTCTAATCGACTCACTTCATTTGCCAACATTTTCCACTGGCAAGAAATCACACCTGATCTATCATAGAAAACCGACAACAGCACTAACAACAACAACAACAACAACAATGTCGTCAATAGCAGCATCACCCTCGTCGCCGGTGTATATTTCTCCTGCCTCCATTTCATCCAACAACAACAAATCATCAAGGCATAATCCATCATGGTGTCTTATACATACCTCACTGTTTTATATTCATTTATTTCTATTATTTGGTTGTTTCGGTTGGCTGATACCACTGTTACCGGATATTGGAGAGTATGTCGCATGTCGAGAAGATGGAAGTCTACGTGTTGGTGAACCACAAATTAGGTAATGAATTTGTGGTTTTGGATGATAATGCGTGTTTTTATATTTCTTGTTTTTTTTATACTCAATGTCTCCTTTCAGGTTTGTATGTGTGTCATGAAGGAGTGATTTTCTAAGGTTTGAAGTTGTAGAAAATTCTAACTCAGTGGCAGTAGACATTTTTTAGGAAGAATAAAGTCAGTTAGTGTTGTCTGCCAGTTCAACTTACTAGCCAAGGTTATTATTTATTATTATTATTATTATTATTGTATTATTGTTTCCTTTAATTCCTAGAGGAACATAGGGCTTCAGCCGTGCGTCTCCATTGCGTTCGGTTCTCTGCTAGAGTCTTCACCTGGCTCCATGTCTGCCCACACGTTTTCATCTCTTCACATGACCTCCTCCAAGTCACCCTTGCACTGACGACCAACTCGCTACTTCCCTTTCGGGTTCCACTCGAGCAATGGCTTGTCTAGTGATGTCACTTGATGGTTTCCTCAGAGTATGGCTGCCAATCCATCTCCATTTCTTCCTGCATATTTGTTTCACAATTGGTTCCTGGTTAGTTCTCTCCCAGAGATCTCTGTTGCTGATCTTTTCTGGCTGGCCATCTGATTTTGAGTACTGAGCGAAGACAACTGTTAATGAAGGTCTGTAGTTTGATTGAGGTGCTCTTTATGACGCGCATTGCAAGTCTCTGATCCGTATAGTAGCACTGACTGACTCCACATTGGAGTTGAAAATCCGGATCTTATTCTCATTTTCATGCTGAGTGCTGTTGACCTCCACACAGACTTGAGAGTAGTGAAAGCTTGTCTTGCTTTTCCGATTCTTCCTTCGATATCCTCGTCAGTTCCGCCTGTGGTTGAAACGATGCTTCCCAGGTAGGTAGGTAAAGGAGGTTGTTTCTTTCAGGTTTCTTCCATTTATGCTGATTGTTGTCTGTTGTTGTCGTTGCTGTTGGTGGTGTTGCCTAGGAATCTTGATTACCTCTGTTTTCTCTATGTTCACCTGAAGGCCTATCTTTGATGCTTCTTCTGCCAACTTGTTGCTTTTCGCTTGCATATCTTCCAGTTTGTGGGAAATCAGACATATATCATCGGCGAAGTCCAGATCCTCCAAGTTTTTTATGTGAGTCCATTTTATGCCTGTTTCCTCATTGCCCACTGTCTGTCGCATTATCCAATCTACTACAATCAGGAAAATCATTGGCGATAGTAGACAGCCAGCTTGTCTTACTCCTGTCCTCACTTCGAAGGATTGCGTAAGTTTCCCGTTGTGGATACTAGCCAAGGCTAGCACAGACTAAATTCTGATTGGTTTATTATTTATATACACTAAGCGTTGGATTCACCAGGTAGAGTACCCCCAGAAGCACTGAAAGTGGATCCAGAAACCTCATTCAATATGCCTGTGTCATTACTGCAGAAGGTGTGCAAGGAAGGAAAAGTACCTGCCGACTGAAAGCCACGTTTGTCACAAGCTGTCAAAGAGGAGTGACTTAAGCATATGCAAGAACTGATGCGAAATCACACTCCTGTCCACCTAAAGCAAAATTTTAATCTGCACTATCCTGAGAAGACTAAAAGATGCCCTGGATGTTAAAGTCCGCCAGGAACAAGCTGGATTCAGGAAGTGTGCAAGTCATTTGCGGATCGAATTGCACATGGTAATCGTACAGAGCACAGAATACCAATCAACTATATATGTCAACTTCATTGACGCTGTAAAAGCATTCGATAGCGTTGACTGTAAAATAATTTGGAAACTCCTTCAACACTATGCAGTGCAGCGCTCAAATATACATAAATCGCATGCAATGGCTATAGGATGATGCTGTATGCCAAGGAATTCATGACGGAAAGCTCAGCAAAGTATTCGAAGTGACAATAGGTGTTAAGCAAGACTGTCAGCTATCACTAATAGTCTTCCTGATAGTCGTGAACCGGTTCATTCTGCAAAACAATGGTTACTGAGGAGATGAGCATACGTCGGAAAGACAGAAAGACACTCGGAGATGAAGGAGAGAAGATAGGAATTCAAGGGAACATACAGAAGGTAGAGGTGATAATGACACCTAACTAACAAAGAAAAAGTAGCAATCACTATCAAATAGGGGAAATCTAAAGGTAGTATCGTTTGAACTACAGGCAACACGCTTAAGGATATCAAGTGTAGACAGGCGTTCATTATTCTGAAACGGTTATAAAAATAATGATAATGATAATAATAATAATAATAGCAATAATAATAATAACAACAATAATAATAATGATAATAATAATAATAACAATAATTTTCTATAGTTTGGTTTGTAAGGGTTAGTTATGTTTTTACGAGTTGATCACGGATTGATATCAGTTAGAGAACCATTGAAAACCAGCCAGGAGTACTGGACAGCTGCTGTTTCATCCTAGTTTGGGAATCATCGGCAGTACGCACCCACCATCAGGGTTCGAACCCAGGACCTTCCGGTTGCAAGGCAAGCTCGTATACCATTCAGCCACTCGTAAAAGCATAACCAACCCTTACAAACCAAACTATAGAAAAATAATATGATGCTCGCTAGTGAGTTGCTACAGGATTGAGTTTCCTGGAGTTCTAGTGAGAAGTCGTGACCAGTAAGGTCCAATTAAATGTCACGCGTGTGTGGATCGATGTCCCACCAACGACAATGGTTGGGGTCGCGCTAAATCACGAATTGGTAGAAGTTAGAATTCATGGGTTGGTCATTGAAGAGTCGGGTTCCAGTGGCTGAATGGTATACGAGCTTGCCTTGTAACCGGAAGGTCCTGGGTTCGAATCCCAGTGGGTGCATACTGTGGATGATTCCAAAACTAGGACGAAACAGCTGGCTGTCCAGTACTCCGTTTGGCTGGTTTTCAATGGTTCTCTAACTGATATCAATCCGTGATCAACTCGTAAAAGAAATAACAATAATATTAATGATAATTATAATATCTTTATTGTAGATAGTAATTATAAAATGTGTGGAATTTGCAGAGGAGCTTATTACGTTATATTTTCCCTTCTTGGAATCAATATCTTCAAGTAAAATATCAATTGACAGTATTTCCCTCCTGGGATGCAATGGTGTCTAAGCTGAATCACAAAGCATTCCATTATGATATATACCTGCTTTGTCTCCTTCAAGAAATCCACGATATTGATCTAGTTGACAGCCAATTGTTAAGATGTTCAGAAGTACATTTCGAGACCCCAGGATAAAACTGAAGAACAGTTATCTCATGTATTGATTGATCGGAACACGTTGCCACCCAGAATCAGGCCATTCCTCAAGTTTAGTAGAAACTTGCGAATCAGGAGCTTTTAAAATACACACAAAAGGAGGTAATACTATTAGAGAGGTCATATCTTAATCGATTAAAACAAACCGAACAAGAAAAAATATATGCAATAGAGAGAGATGGCAGTTTTTGGTAGCCCAAGTTTTAAGCAAGCCGCCAATTATTATTAGGTTATTGGACATTTGGCACAAGGGACAAAATCTGAGTTCTTAACACCAATGTCAAATCAGGGTTACTCTATAGTTGATAGACCTAGTGCATTGCAGAAAACACTTTAAACGGTTTGAAGACTGTCATCAACAGTTTTATCCACTCTATGCTGAAGATCAGATAGTTCGAAGCGAGCTGGCCATTAACACACAAGGACGTTGGGATGGCTTAGACATACACACAGAGTAGATCGCCGAATGAAATTACACACACACCAGGTCCTTTGAATGGAACCCGAATACGAAGCAATGAGTTGCTCATGAGTCGGAGAGTGACTTGGAGAAAGTGAAAGAAACAGAATATGAGATCTAACAGATAGGAGGTGAGAAAGTGAAGTAAGGTATGAGGGGGATGAAAATATTATCATCACTAAGTAAAATAAACCTCAGTTTTAAAGCTGGTTTATCAAGGCAAGTTCAGTGGAATGAAAAATAATATTTGAACCTATAAAACAGAACTGCGGGTGAACACAGAGAAGAGGGAGGTGATGAAGATAACCAATCAACAGCAACAACAGCCAGCACCAATCACCACCAACGGGAGAGATTTAAAAGGTTGCCTCCTTCACTTATCTGGGAAACATCGTTTCAACCAGAGGCAGGCGGAACGGGCAAAGATGTGAATGGCAATTAGAATCGGAAAGGCGAGATACGCCTACATCAACTTGAAACCAGTTTAGAAATCTTCTACACTCAGCATAAGGAACAAGATTAGCATTTTCAGCACCAACGTGAAGTTGGTTCTTCTATGCGGTTGAGAAACTTGCGCTACTTGTCACGTAAAGGATTTCCAACAGCCTGTTGCAGACTTTTGTCAACAGCTGCCTTCGCTGGCTGCCTCCATACTGAAGATCAAATGGCCGGCCAGAAAGAATAAGCAACAAGAAACTGTGGGAACAAACCAACAAGCAAGAGCCGATTGCTCAACAAGTGGATTTGTAAAACAAAATGGAGATGGATCTGGCATACATTGAGGAGGCCGCCGAATGACATCGCACACCAGGCCGTTGATTGAGTGGAATCCCGACGGGAAGTGACGAGTTGGTCGTCAGTGCGAGGGTGACATGGAGGAGATCGAGCGAGTTAGAGGAGATGAGAGATTTTGGGAAATCGTGGACCCAGCTGACGAGGATGGCAGAAAATAGAAGAAAGTGGAGATTTGTTGTTGAAGTCCTATGTTCCACTCGAAACGCAAGGGAATAATAATAAAGACCTCGACGAATCAAAGTATACTATCCGAAGTTGTTATATATATATATATATATATATATATATATAATACAGGACCGAGTTACGTGGAGTTCTGGTGAGGAGTCGTCACCAGTGACGTCCATCCAGTCAAGTGTGTGAGGTTGGAGTTCCAACCGATGACATTGGTCGGTGGTCGCGCTAAGTGCATCACGAATTGTTGGAAGCTAGAATTCATGCGGTTGCCAAAGAATCCGGTCCCAGTGGCTAAATGGTGTATGAGCTCGCTGGTCATGTAACCAGAAGGTCCTGTGTTTGAACCCGGATGGGGTGAATGCGTGCTGCAGATGATTCCTAAACTAGGATGAAACAGCTGTCTAGCACTCCGTGGTTTTCAATGGTTCTCTATCTGATATCAATTCATGGTCACACTCGTAAAAACATACATATAAGCGTTTAAAGGCAGTTATTGAAATCAGCTTTATGACCCGTGTGTTGGACATTTATACTTGAGTTTTTGTAAAGTTGTCAAATTTTTTCTAATAACACTGAATCTTAATATTTTTTTCCTCCTTCTCTGTTTCCCTTTTGTGTCTTCTGATCGTCATTATCTGATGGGGGAATAGTTCTGGAAAGTCGATTCTATGCATTATAGACTTTATCTTGTTATATTTCTCATCAATGGCTGCTGCAATTTGGTCAAATATCTTTGATTATGCATTATTATATCAAATGAAAAAAATCAATTACAATCTAACCAATCAACAGAATCCTTCTCCTCCTTATCATCAGTCTCATCATCATCCTCGTCATCCTCATCATCATCATAAACAACATCGTGGACGTCATCATCATTCAAATCAGCGCCAAAATCAAACTGATATAGAAATGAAACATATTCAATCTTATTTAACAAAATTTAGTGAAAATTTATCAAAAAAGAAAAAGAAAGGCGTTAACAAGTTAACAAATACCGATGATAATTATTCATCATTATTATTATTATCATCGTCATCATTATTAAAAAAGCGTATCTCACATGAACCTTTATCAGAGATCACAAATTCAATTAATTTAACCAATGAAAAATCCTCCGAATTTGAATTATCCACTGAAGGTGGTCATGCTATCATTGATTTAAACAATATTGATAATATTGAAACAATTGAACCATTGAATACATCTGTTATAAAAGATAATAGTAATAATATTAATAATAATAATGAAGAGAAAAAGGATAATAAAACTGCCACATTGACAACAACAACAACAGCAAAACGACCTCGACGACGACGGCAATTATTACTTCATTCATCGTGTTCATTTAACTCTTCGTTTAACTCTCCATCATCATTAATGACATCTTCTTCTTCTTCTGGCGCGTCTTCTTCAACACCGCCTTCTCATTCTCCTTCACCTTTATCACCATCACCTTCATTATTGTTATCCAGTCTGAAAGTGAATGAACATTTGCAAACATCTTTTATCAAGTCTAATGTATTAAAAGAAAACATGAAAATGTCGAATAATACTACTACTATTACTACGACAATTACTAATACTGACAATAATAATAATAATAATAATAATAATAATAATAATAATAATAATAATAATGGTGTTGACATCGATGTAAATGTCTCTTCAAAGAAATATGATAATCATAGTAAGTTTTTAAAAGGTTATCTAATCTTATCTTTTCTACAAATTCTTTCAAGACATATACCTTCAAAATCTATGCTAGATGTGATTGCGATTTGTCCCTTCTGTTCCACTGGCGTCATTTTCAACTAATTGCTCACATTTCCATATTAATTTATAGGTTTCCAGGCCGTAGATGTTACGAATACTTCCTGGAATAATTTGAGCGCTGAGTTAGATTGATTCATTATAAATTATTTAAATTGATCCCAGCGTGTTAAGAAAATCAAAACAAGATCTGTTTTCTGAACGTTTCGCTGTGTAAGCTGCCACAGCTTCTTCAGCCGCAGATTTATTCGGATTTTTATTAATCATCAAAATATATAGTCAACATTTATTTTTACATAAATTGAAGTCAGTTTATTTGAAGGTCATTTGTCCATGGACATTTTTACCAATAGAAAGATGTAAGCAGTCATCATATATATATTTGTAATGACTAATGTCAAATTGTTGTTGTGTTCACTCTTCTATAGTTGATTTGTACAGATTAGTTTTGTATGGTGTCGGTGGCATAGCGGTTAGGACGCTTGCCGACTATACATATGGTCCGGGGTTCGATTCCCGGCCGACGCACTCCTTTACCTCGCTAAGCCAGAAATAATGCTGATGAAGAGGAATGGTTGGGCATGAGGCTAGCAACCCCATCCTGTAAAATAAACACTGCTACAGAAACTTCAAGCCACTAGCTTGAAGCCGGCCGATGTTCCACTGGGAACGTGAAGGAAAAAGAAAGTTTTGTATGAGTGTGTGTGTGTATGTATGTTATTTGTCACTCATACGAAACTAATCTGTACAAATCAACTATAGAAGAGTGAACACAACAACAATTTGACATTAGTCATTACAAATATATATATGATGACTGCTTACATCTTTCTATTGGTAAAAATGTCCATGGACAAATGACCTTCAAATAAACTGACTTCAATTTATGTAAAAATAAATGTTGACTATATATTTTGATGATTAATAAAAATCCGAATAAATCTGCGGCTGAAGAAGCTGTGGCTTACACAGCAAAACGTTCAGAAAACAGATCTTGTTTTGATTTTCTTAACACTCTGGGATTAATTTAAATAATTTATAATGAACCATATTAGTTTGTTTAATAGGTGTATCACGCCGTGAAACAGTATTATTCACTGGATGACAAAGTTTCGAACAAAATTTATTGTTCATAATCATTTCATCAATTATAATCACACGACTTTGACACTTGAGTTTTATAGTTTTCTTTGTGTTCTCCTATTTGTCGTCGTTGGGGTAGTAGAATTTTCCAGATATCTGGCACAGACTAACTAGACTAACCAATTCTTACGAACTAAAATACAGATAAGATAATTTAAAATTAGATAATGTAGAAGCAATGGTTAGTTTTGACATTTTCAGTTTATATACACGCATACCAATAAATATGGCCATAGAGAGGTAGTCAGAAACGAACTCATTTCTGACCGAGAACTCGAACTTACGACAAAAGTGCCACTTGAGGACACAATGCTGGGAGTGCAGCTATGCCTGACTTCCACAGTATTTAAATTCCTCCAAGGGAAAATATACAAACAAACTGAAGGAGTTGCCATGGGATCACCAATATCCCCGGTTGTGGCAGATATATTCATGGATAGGTGAGGTATGTAGATGACACATTCACCGTACTTAGAACACAAGATATAGATAGATTTTTCGAACACAATAACTCAAAGGTGGAGGCAATTCAATGAATTTTAAAGTCAGGAAGGGGAACTTCCAATGTTAGATTGTAGCGTAAAAACGAAAGAAGATGGGAAGTTAAGCAGTTTATTTTTATCAAGAAAATAAACATACCTGACATCTGAGTTAAATTCTATGTAATTTCTCCCCACTTTTCTTTTAAATCCTCAGATATTCGCTCCAGTCCCAGCAGTAATAATGGTCAAACAATATGCTCAGAGTCAATTGTTCAACGATCTCCATTATTGGAACACGTATCCTCAAATTTGCATGATAATAAAAGCAGTCGTCAGGATCACCACCACCACCACCAACAACAACCAGACCACAGCCATCATCGTCATCCTCACCATCATCACCATCAACACCCTAGCCATGATTATCGACAGTATAAATATGGTTCATTCACTGGGATCCCTTTAAGTTCACTTGTTGATTTTTTACCCTATGATTGTTTAGACTCTTACCTGTATTCGCCTACATGTTTCCCTCATCCAAAACCATTAATCTCACAAATTTTATGGATTCAATTATTTACTACTGATAAATACTTATTTATTCATAATATGGACACTAGTCACGGTAATAATAATACTAATAGTAGCAGTAGTGTGAAATGGTGTGAAATGCATAATTGTTATAAAATGGTTATCGATAATGATAATGATGATGAAGTTGGAGATAATAGTGGATATCATCAGGCGAATGCTCCTGTGACGTCGGCGACGACAGCGAGAACAACAACACCAATAAAAAAATCGTCGACAGTAATGCCTATTTGTTCTTGTTCTTGTGCTTATTCTAAATCACTTATGCTTAAACACGGGGTTATTATTTCATCACCAATGAATCAATCGATAAATACACAACCACAAACCACTTGTTTACACTTGCTGGCATTAGCTGTCCCGTTAGTGTTGACTTTGATCAGTTTAACAGCTGCAGAAGTAAGTGTAATATATTATTTCTATTGATTTATTGATTTATTTACCTATTGTGTTTGTTTGCTACTCAATGTGGTTCAACTTTGGTTCATTGGTGTAAACTTTCAACCAACTTTAGTCTTGGAGACGAAACCTACTCCACTATAAACGACCTGGGTGGCTAGACTTCGGTCCGCCTCTCGAAATGCTCTCGTTTGACCACGCGTTCATAGTGCAATGACAGACGAGACTGTGAAATTACATCGATTGAGATGCTTAGGACATGTGTTACGTTTGCCTGGTCATCGCCTACCTCGACATCGGGCAATGTTAGCTGATATAGGGCCAGACTGGAAAAGAGCTAGCCAGCGGCGGTCAAACCAAAACATGGCACCAGTCAATGAAATCCATAACAGCTAGTCTAAGCCACGTAGGAAGGTGTAGACTTCCTGTCTGGTTGGGGTCCTCGGGACGGTAAAAACCAATGGTTGGAAACAATTGGTGACATGGCTCAAAATCGTTCTCAGTGGCTGGTGCAGATGCATCCACTCCTTGTGACTTATGATTTCCAATGAAATTGTTTTGTTTTTCGTTATTACTATTCCTTTGTCTCACACCTCTGTTTACTGTCTCTAATATGCATTTCTCCTACTTTCTTCTCTTGCTTTGTGTGCTGAGTGAAGTGTGGCGACTTGAACTGCCGCACATATGTGCAAAGTTCTATGTCGAAAACAGACAAAAAGACAGTAATGACAGAAGAAAAGGGCCAGACAACAGATCGTTTATTGAGAAAATCAAGAGATATTTATAAATTTTTATGTACATTATTGTTGGCGGAGAAGCAACCTCGTCTGATTGGTTGTTTCCTTGCTGGAGGTTATTCTGTACTGCTTGTGACCAACCGTTTCCCAGAAGTTAAGCCATATATCTGCAAATCGTATTTTCACACGTTAAGTTTGCCGAGATTGGTTGTTGAGTTCCTCAAGGTTAGGCTTTGTTATTGTGTTGTTTTTCTCATGACCCTGATTCGGGACGTGAACATTGACGTAAATTGTTGTCTACAATATTTGGCTTGTTCTCAGCCAGCTGTCACCACAATAGTCTCTATCATCCAGTCTCCATATGGTGGGAGTCTTCCTCACAAACGTGAAAGAGGGAATGCAAGTGTCTCTAGGGCAGCTGAAACATCCTTATTCCAAACTTATAGTGTATATGGGTTCCAGAATCCTAAAGGGATCGAATAGTTTTGTATAAAGGTGTTTTGGTTACCAGAAACTATATGAACTTTGTTGCTGACGCTTCTCCACTACTTTGTGTGCATCAGTCTTCATGCTAGAGGTCCCTCCTGAAGACAACCATATGCTTCGGTCTGGTCATCCGGGCAGTATCCCAGCCCTCGCATAAACTATGAGGGTTTTGTAGCGCATCTCTCTTGTGGCTCATAATGTACCGAGTTTATTAAATTAAGGGAAAAAGAATCTGTAATATGTATGAAAATGCACGGGAGATAAAGAATAACTAGATGAATCGGAGTTACGAAGGTGTCTAGAGTCTGGAAAACGAAAAAAAGTGAAGACAGCTGCATCATTGCGAAACATTTTTGAGTCATGTTATCAACATTCTGCAACCATTGATTTTTAGCTTATCGAGAATCCCACCCAAATGGCTTCCACCTCACTAACTGGCTCGAGACGACAGTTAGAGACTTCATAGCTAGTACTTGTCAGCGATAAGAGTATACCTATGTTCCAGAACCGATTGAGGGGTGAAAATCTGTTTGATATACACCTTCATCTAGACCTAAAATCTTCTGTGTTTTCCAGGGCTTGTTTTTCCTGAACCCTACTTAGTCTTTTTTCGATTATGAGTAGTCCTCGGATATCTTACGTACTGTTAGTCAGGCTGTAAAATCGCAAAAGGGATCAATGATCTAAAATGGTTTTTTGAGATTATCTTATAATCTCATACAGCAGCTAATACCTTAATGTAACCTACTTAATAGTTCATCACCGTTTCTTAAATACCTCTGGCATCATACCAACAGGTCTTGCTGCTTTACCTCGTTTCTGAGTAGAGGCAACAATTTTGTAACCTCAGCAGCTACAGGTGGACAATTAATGTCTACATCCCCTTTATTCAGATAGGTGTTCAATGATGAATGCCGGTTAGATCACTCCTCAAAATTCTCTACCTAACGTTCAAACCACTTTGCTGTTAGAAAGTGAATAAAGTTTCATCTTTCTTAGTAATAATTTAACTAAAGGGTTGTGACGGGTATTATCTTCCAATGATACGCTTTCCATTCCTTTCGCTTTTCGTGTCCACCAGTATTCAAAGTCATTGAGAAGACTTTTAGTTAGCTTATGTTTATGCGGCTCCAACCCTTCCTTCTTATATTCTAAGACAGCTCTGGTATCACTCTTCTTCGATCTGTCAGTTTGAATTAACCTGCAGAAATCTACTGACTTAAGACGTCACGCTACGTATGTTTTAAAACTATACTACCCAGTTCCATATTAGTTTGTTTATTAGACATATGATACGTAAAGTGAAACAGTATTATTTACTGGATGCAGAAGTTTCGAACACAATCGAGTATTGTTCATAATCATATTTTCAATTATAATCACACGACTTCGAAACTTGAGTTTTATAGTTTTCATTGTTCTCTCCTATTTTTCATCATAGGTAGCGGTATTAGAATTTTCCAGATATGTGGGACAGGTGTTGAATCATTCCTATTACGCGTGTTCGCAGTTGACTCGATACACAAAACCTCCGTTATCAATCTCTCCCTCCACCTCGCTGTTACATTAGATTTTAAAACTGTTGCCACTGGGGTCACCAATATCCCCGGTTGTGGCAGATATATTCATGGATAGGTGGGAAAACTTAGCGATTGAAACGTTCAGCTCCACCCCAAAAGTATGGCGGAGGTATGTAGATGACACATTCATTGTACTTAGAACGCAGGATATAAATAGATTTTTCGAACACATGAACTCAAAGGTGTGTAATAGGAATGATTCAACACCTGTCCCAGATATATGGAAAATTCTAATACCGCTACCTACGACGACGAATAGGAGAGAACAATGAAAACTATAAAACTGAAGTTTCGAAGTCGTGTGATTTTATAATTGAGAATATGATTATGAACAATACTCGATTGTGTTCGAAACTTCTGCATCCAGTAAATAATACTGTTTCACTTTACGTGTCATATATCTAATAAACAAACTAATATGGAATTGCAAACTAACACAGTGCCCAAGTTTTACATATATATTAATTTTACCCAGTTTCCTCTCTAATGTACTACTGTGACTTCTTTAAGATTTTTCTTCGCTCTTCTCATACTCCAGAAAAGTTATACAAGTTGGATTAGATTGTCATAGACGAAGCAAGAGGGTGTCGGCAGTTCAGCTGTTAAATACTCGTCAACCATGCACAGGGTCTGGAGTTTGATTCCCGCTCGGCACACACCTTTACCTTCCTTAGCCCGTCTTAAGCCCTGTAAAAAAAGGAAGGTTGGGCGTGAGGCTGGCCAATCTACTCTGTAAAAATAAAAATAAACCTTTTGCTATTGGGATTTCAAAGCTCACATTTCTATCTCTGTGTTTCATTTGGAACGGGAAGGAATAAAATTTAAAAAATAAAGGGAAAGCAAAGTGTGTATCTTATTTGTGTATGTGCGCCCATTGGACGTTTACCTTCAGGTTACTTGTATAATGGTGGCTGGCAGTGGGATCCAAGACGCACACATTTGGCATTTGAAACGATTACTACTGGCTGGGTTTATAATTGTCAGTGGGAACATTATCATTCACTGGGAGGGGGGGAATACAGGTATATTCAGCTTATGAGTCTCAAGATGGGACGAAGTGCGATTTTCGTCAGTCATCACTAAACAACCATGTTTTTAATACTAGTCATATTGCTTCTTCATACCTTTCTCCTTATTGTTTTTTCTCTTCTTTTGTTTTTCGTTCATAGATTGATGGGAATTCATTGAGTGGTATCTGTTCAGTTGGTTTAATCAATATATGGGCACGTGTCGGCCTCTTGTTAATCCCGTTCACATTATCCTTAGCGATTAAAATCTTTTATTTTATTCAATTAATACATCAATTCACAAGATTACGTCATAAATTCCGTGTGTCTTCATTTCGTGTTGATCGTGAAATAGCTCAACGCTTGGTGAGATATTCTTTATTCTATGGTAAGTTGTATTGAATGTCCACTATGTCATTGTTTTTTTGTAAACCGTCGGAAAGGTTCAGTGTGGTGGTAACGTCTTTTGACTGACTGTAGCACCACCGGGTGACGTGGGTTCTAATCTCTTTCAAGACTGCAGATACGCCTTGTTGACTGACTGACCGACTGGTGAACGGCCAACTAGCACCAAACCTAACTCTAAAATCTTCCTGCTCACTGATGACCTCCATCCGTATAACAACTAAGTCTAGTTATAAATGGTATAGACTATGTTGCTCTGTTAAGCATGTGAGACGTTTTTTGATTTGTAGCGACAGAAGACAAGGGTCAGGCAACATATCGTTTACTGAGGAAATCAAGAGGTATTTATAGATTTTTATCTACATTATTATTAGCGCTATTGTTAGCAGAGAAGTAGCGTCTTCTGATTGGTTGTTTTCCTTGTCGAAGGTTATTCTGTACTGCCTGTGACCGTTGCTTACAAAGTTATCTATATATCTGTGAATCGTATTTGCACACGCTAAGTCTGCTGAGATTGGTTGTTGAATTCCTCAAGGTTAGACTTTGTTCTTGTTTTTCCTCATAACCCCCAGATTCAGGACGTAAACATAGACGTGAATTGTTGTTTGCGATTTTGCCTTACAGATAGCTCTCAATACAGTTTTATCTTTGTTCGAAGATATCTCATAACCTCTGATGTCTTGTGTAGAATTTTGAACAAGGCAGGAATAAAACTGGCCTCTGACAGCCCATAAATTAACTTAAAAATAAATTATATCTGTTGAGGAATCCTATAAAGTCCTTTAATATGTTCTAATGATTTTGAGATCAAATACATAGGTCAAAGTAGCAGGCTGCGGTGAATTAGATTGGCGGAGCGTAAAAACTCAACGAAATTTAGACTAGCAGACCCTGATTAAGATGAAAAGTCAAGAAAATAGCTCAGCTATAGCACCAAATGCAGTTCTACACATAACCTTAAAGTAAGATGAGGCAAGATGACGGCCTTGAAATCTAATAATTGAAGGAGTCGAATCAATTAAGAATACATGCAAATCGGCGTGATACGACATCTGTCCACTTGGACATCTGGAAAATTCAACTACCCTTAAAACAAATATTAGAATTCGAGACGCTTGTTTACTGCCAACCACTGTCAAGCAAGTAACCTTGAGTTATTGTCCCTACAAATATATCTATGTATTGGTTAAAGGACTCGATCTATCAAAATTGAGGCAGATCAACCGAGTGCAGATATATCAGTGGGCAAACACAAAGATAAATAATTTCAAGTCGTAGTGAGTGCGTCGGTGGTATAGTGGTTAGGACGCTCGCCGACCATGCACATGGTCCGGGGTGTGATCCCCGGTCGACACACTCCTTCACCTCACTGAGCCAGAAATAATGCTGGTGAAGAGGAAAGGTTGGGCATGAGGCTAGCAACCCCATCCTGTAAAAATAAACACTGCTACAGAAACTTCAAGCCACTAGCTTGAAGACCTATGTTCCACTGGGAAACGTGAAGGAAAAAAAGAGTGAGTGAGATAATGTTTTGCATTTGAAGTGGTATGGATACCGGATTCAAGTCTCAATGGAGATACCTCGACTCACTGGGGAAATGCAATTAAGCGCGGATGATGAGTCTTAAATAGGACGAAACACACTTTTGGAATTTCACTGCTAGCCACCATCAAACTAATAAATTATGGCGATTTTGTGTAAGGTTTTACGTTTGGTTCATCTCTTCCTGCCTGTCTTTGCCCTTTTCTGTTATCTAAAGCGGAGTTGGACGGAGATGAACAGATTTCATACAAAAATGTAATCTAGTTCTTATTCTCTCACTAATTATCGCTTTATTCATTATCACACTATCACAAATTTTATAAATCCACTATTAATCATTACATCAATTAAATAGAACACAGAAAAAGCACTGAGCAAAGAATATTCTTTTTGGATAACTTCCTGTTCTTCAGCTTCCTCAAGGAATTGGTGTTATTGACAACATTAATATATATATTTCTTGAAGTTTGACGAAGTTCCTTGATAAAAACATGAATTTCCCGCCGAGGCAACTTAGTATCTCAACAACTCCGAGGAAGACCTTGTTCTCCAGGACTTCAGTACCTTGGTGATAACAGTAGTGAAGTAATTAGACAAGTGCTTAAAGAATGCAGTAAAAAGAGCATTCAGTGTGGAGCAGATGTATAGTTGCTTTTCACAACTATTCTAAGGTGTATATTCGAGGAATAAGGATAGACTACCTGATTACGCTTCCTCCATGTGTATCTATCAGTTTGATTGCTCCTGTGGAGCTAGTGACACTGGGCATACAACTAGGCATTTTTACCATCGAATTTCCGAACATTATCTCCTGCATAGTTAACCAAAAGGTCTATTCATAGTTCTGTTTTAGCTCAACAGAAAGTTGACATCGAAGTCATCTACCGTATTCCGCGTAATCTTTTAATTTGGCTTTACGAGTTCATCTTCTACATATATATTAATACTTTGAATGGACACTGTCGATTGCCTCCAACCATCTAACGTCACCAAATCAATGTTCACCGTGATGGCAAGCCGCCTAGAGGCATGGTGGCTACATTGCAAATCTGACTGATAGAATTCAGTCTGCACCAAAGAAAGGACTAGACAAATCACGCCAGTTACTAGTGTCCAATAAAAGTACCCAATACAGTCCTACAGGAAGTCAATCGTCTCTGACTGCAGCACTGGCTGGTGATGCCAGTTATAATCTCAGAAGGGACATGAGTTGTTCCTTCAAGACTGCAGATACACCTTGCTGACAAACTGGTGAGTGCCAACTAGCACGAAACCTAGGTGAGGTGCGGCTTACTGTAGCCGATTGCCTCCAACCATCTAATAACATATATCTGAAGCTGTAAGAATCCATCTGAAGAAGCCCAAATTTTATGTGTTCAGAAGTTGGTCCTAGAAATGCTTTTCTTACCTTGACCATCATTGTAAATATCTGATAGTCTCCTCATTCTACCTGATGTATTTACAATTTATTAATGTTTTAACTATTTTATTGTTCTACCTTGTAATTGTTGCATTCATTTTATTAGGCATATAATCACACATATAGATGCTTTTCAACTGTAATCTATTGATCTTAGTGACACGATCTCATTTAAACACAACCTTAATGTTGTCAATAATAATAATAATTCTTCAACTGTTATCTACCTATGTAACTGTATAACCTAAAGAACAGGAATTTATCGAAAGGAATATACAGATTATAGAATTTGTGGGGATTCTTGTGGCGGGTGGGTGGGTGGGATTAATTTCAATTATCAGATTTTCGCCACGAATCAATATCAGTTGGAGAATCATCGAAAAATATCCCGGAGCACTAAACATAACTGTTTCGTCCTATTTTGAAACTCTTCGGCAGTGAACATCCATAACCCCCTCTCATCAAGGATCGAACTCAGAACCTTCAAGTTACAAGACTAAGCTTGTTGACCATTCAGTCAATTGGGATATAATTCAGTGACCCCTGAATTCTAACTTTGTCAATTCGTAGTAGAGCGCCACCGCTGTCACCATCAATGAATGCCTTTGCGATGAGCATCCAATTCACACTGACACATGGTGAACCCCACTAGTCATGAATTCTCACTGCAGTCTCAGGAAATTCAGCCAGTAGTCATCAGTGAGCTGGTAATTGTTATATTTAGATTAGAGGATTTTCGATTGATTCCAGTGATTAGATTTTTGTCATGGACCGACACTGACATTTAGAGGGTGACCACTGAGTGGTCAACGAGCTTGATCGCACAACCTTGAAAGTCCCGGGTTCAATCCCTGGTGGGGGGATCATGTGTGTGAGCTGCCGAGGAGTATCAAAATAAGACGAAACAGATGTCCAGGGCTCTCTGATTTTCAATAATCTCTCTCTCAACTGGTTTTCCAATGGTTCTCTAACTGATTCCAGCTACTGATAAAATTCTGTAACCAGTGAATTTTTCCTGCACACCAACACTTGACTATTAATTTGATGCTCACTAGTGACTAGCCCTATTCAAATAGGTAGTTACCTGGGTGGTTCTAGTGAGAAGTTGTGACCAGTAGGGTACAGCAGGTTGGGTGTGATGACAAATACTCACCAGCGATGACATTGTCTAGTGTCAGTCGTTCTATATCGGGAATTCACAGAAGTTGGAATTCATGGACTGGCTGTTGGATTGGCAAATCCCATTAGCTTAATGCTCTACGAGCATGCCTTGTAACCAGAAGGTCCTTGGTTTGAACCCTGCCTGTGGATGAGTTCCGACGGAGAGTCCCAGACTGGGACGAAACAACTGGTTGTCCAGTACTCTCAGCTGGTTTTTCAATGGTTCTTTAACTGATGCTGATGTCAGCTTATGATGAAATCCTGTAGACAGTCGAATCCCTGCAAACCAACACATGAAAATCTAGTCATTGAAAAGAATATATTTTTCGATAGAGAAAGAAAGACCAGATTTGCAGTATAAAATGATATCATTCTATTTCACAGGTTCTCATCAGCTGCAAACTACCTGAAATTACAATGGTTATAATTAATAACATTTATATATATATATATGCTCAATCTTCCGTTTTTTGTCTACTACTAAATATCCAAATGGAGATTTTTTCGCTGCATCAATTAATTAATTAATTTCATACATTTATTCCCCTTAATGAATTTGAACAAAGCAAGAACTACAGTTTTAGCAGAATAAAGTGGTACCATCATTGTTTATTTCGTTGCCTTCTCGTCAGCTGCTTACAGGGCAAAGACATTATTAAATGTATCTACAAAAACAATTTTAACATACTTGCACAGAGTTCATTTTAAACAAAAATCAATCGATCAATATATACATACACTAATTATATATATATGCAATATTAAACACTATTCCGAACAATAATAATCATACACAATGAAAACTTTTCAGCATCTCGCATTCGGATGAAAAATATCTAGTTACCAGGGCAAAGAAAGACTGATAACCGCTTCTTTCTGAACGCATAAATCAGGTTTCAGGCGCTTGATGGAAATGGCTTCAGCAAACTTGAGGAGAATTGACCTCTTTTGCCTATTGATAATTTTGAACGACTTTTCGACGTCCACCTCATGACCCGTGTCAAGGAGATGCCTGGCGATGGCACTGTTTAAAGCATTTGTTCCCTTTAGACATAAGCTTTTTGGTACATGTTCAGAAAATCGTAGATATGCCCTTCTTTCTGTTCTTCCAATGTAACTGCTCCCGCAGATACATGTAAATTTGTATATACAGTTGGAGTTGAACATGAGAAGGATATCTATCGATTTTTGATTGCATCAAAGAGCAAGTTGTTCGATAGACGGGAACGAGCTTAGCTGCAGGATAGGCTATGGCTAGTGATGTGCTCAGCCTTCTGTTGATCATCGCTGCAATGTTTTCACCTTTATAATCAAGCTCAAAGTAGATTGGCTTTTTTCCTACTGTGATTTGTTTTTCATTTGTGACTTCAGATCTTCCATACTTGTTGATGAACCTTTGAGGGTACCCATTGCTCTTCAATGTCTTTTCAAGAAACTCAAATTCTTCCTCTAATTTCTCTATAGAGCATATTATCCTCACTCTATAGTACAGTACAGAGTCTTGACTAGACCGCGTTTAAAGCTATTTGAACAAAAGTTATTAAAATGTAAGTATTGTCCTTTCCATGTGGACTTTCGATAAATTGACTTCTGAAGACTACCGTCTTCTAGGCGTTCCATGGCAATTTCGAGGAAGTGGAACTTCCTGTCACTTTCATGTTCCATAGTGAACTCAATATTGGCGTGTGCATCATTGAATAATCTTAGTAAGTGTGCAGCATGACTTTCACTGTTGCACACTATAAATGTGTCATCAACATATCGACAGTAGGAAGTTGTTTCGTCGGTTGCATGCCTCAACTTTGTTCTTTCAAGGTTGGACATGAATATATCTGCTAAAACAGGGCTAAGTGGGCTATTCTGCTAAAACTGTAGTTCTTGCTTTGTTCAGATTAATTAATTACTTAACTGAGTCATCATCAACATCGTTCGTTATCTGTTATTTATAAAATTTACATTGATGGCGACTTTTTGGCCAAATATTAGACATAACAACTTGTGTGCAGTGTAGGTTGAATTCACAAAGGTAATTCACAATGGATAAGCTGTCCAACAATCTATGCTTTATCCTTTATATCATATATTCAAACATGCATACACACACGCACACGAAGTACCAGTTAAAAAATACACCCTTTTTTCTGTTTTTTTATTTATACAGGTTTATTCTTACTTTTCCTATTGAGTTTATGGTTATTCTCAATTTGTATACATACTTATTGGTACATGAATGAACCTGTCTGGTTAGAATCCCAACGACTTTTATTCTTGTAAGTTATTGACTAATTAATGCGTTACTTGTCATTTTTGGTGGGGATTTTACTGTTTATTTTTATGCTATTTTATGATATTATATTATTATTGTTTCCTTTAATTCCTAGAGGAACATAGGGCTTCAGCCGTGCGTCTCCATTGCGTTCGGTTCTCTGCTAGAGTCTTCACCTGGCTCCAAGTCTGCCCACACGTTTTCATCTCCTCTTCACATGACCTCCTCCAAGTCACCCCTGCACTGACGACCAACTCTCCGCTTCCCTTTCGAGTACCACTCGACCGATGGCTTGTCTAGTGATGTCACTTGATGGTTTCCTCAGAGTATGGCCAATCCATCTCCATTTCTTCCTGTCTATTTGTTTCACAGTCGGTTCCTGGTTGATTCGCTCATTGCCAGAGATCCCTCCCTGTTGCTGATCTTTTCTGGCCATCTGGTCTTGCGTATTGAGCGAAGACAACTGTTAATGAAGGTTTGTAGTTTGTTTGAGATGCTCTCTATGACGCGCCAAGTCTCTGATCCGTATAGTAGAACTGAATGACTTCACATTGGAGTTGAAAATCCGGATCTTATCTTCGTTTTGATGCTGAGTGTTGTTGACCTCCACACAGACTTAAGAGTAGTGAAAGCTTTTCTTGCTTTGATATCCTCGTCAGTTCCGCCTGTAGCTGAAACGATGCTTCCCAGGTAGGTAAAGGAGGTTGTTTCTTTCAGGTTCCTTCCATTTTTGCTGATCGTTGTCTGTTGTTGTTGCTGTTGGTGGTGTTGCCCAGGAATCTTCATCACCTCTGTTTTTCTCTATGTTCACCTGAAGTCCTATCTTTGATGCTTCTTCTGCCAACTTGTTGCTTTTCGCTTGCATATCTTCCAGTTTGTGGGAGGCCGGACATATATCATCAGCGATTATAATAAGACTTATCTAGGAGTATTCCTGAGTTGACAGACTGTTGATGAGGGAGATGATCAGGAAAGCTATGTATAATTATCGAAGTGTATGTAGGTGGCTATTTCTTTCTTCTTGCATGACTTGCCTCACTCTGATGACGAAATGAACTTTGTTAGGTATGCCGACGATCTAACTATTTCAATGTCTGTTAACTCCCAGCTAGACTGTACTAAGATGAACAGCTTTCTATCAGGAATTAGCAAATGGTCTTCGTCTAATGGCCTTAAACTAAATCCTTCCAAATGTCAGACAGTTAATTTCAGTTTCCGATGTAAAAGAAAGTTAAATGATGAAGCTGTTGGTTCCTATGACCCTTGCAAAATTGATGATACTCATATAGAAACCAAGTGTGAAGTTAAATATCTTGGATTAATTTTTTCTTCTGACCTATCCTGGTCTTCCCATGTCTTAGCGATTTCTAAAAGAATATTTCGTTTGACTTTTTACATTAAGAAGTTAAGGCACTCAGGCATAACCCAACCCCTCCTCTTACAGTTTGTCAACTCGTGTATTTTACCTATTCTTCTTTACTGTTCACCCTTATTCTTTCCTGGATTGCTTAAAAAAGACTATGTCATACTTCGTAGAACTCTGAAGACTGTCAGTAGGGTGAGTGGTGGTATCCCATTGGGCCATATCGTTGACATTGTCACTGATAGGCACTTGATGTCATGCAACAAATTCGCTAAAGGAATTTTTTCAGACTGTGAGCATCCACTTTACATACCCGCAGCTCCGACCTTGTATCTCCTCAGGTAAAACAAGAAGTCTTTTCAGAAGACTTTATGCACTTACGTCCAAGTATAAAAGTTCCACTATACCATATTTGGCACGTACTTTATGTGATGAAAATAGTGTCAGAAATGAACTAACAAGCCTTCTTTGCACTACTAAACAAACCATTTCCTTCACCCTTAAAACATCAACCTTTATTGTTATAGCATTTCTTATATTTATAATCCTCTCAATATTTTGTTTTTATTTGTTTATTTTTTCATAAGTGTGAACATCATTTAAGCTGTGTTATAACTGTTAATTTTGTATTTCCCATCACCATACTGTATCAACAGAACATTAGATTCAATGCCTCTATAACATGCTAAAATTTCCATACTGAATCGACAATACTGTTTGAAACAAACTGACTATTATTATTATTATTCTGACTTCGTGCTTCGAATATTTTTAATTTTATATTGTAAATGTGGACAAATTCCTCTGGTTACTTTTGATTTAATTTTTAATTTTATTTATATTTTAAGTAAATCGGATGCAATATTGTGACAAATGCTGAGAATTCCATTCTGTATTATAAGTACTGTTTTTGGAATAAAGTAGATTATTATTATTATTATTATTTCCTTTCTAGAGCGGTGAGGCAGCATAGCTGATATGATTATGAGCAATAAATTGTGCTCGAAACGTCATCAGTAAATATTACTGTATAACACTGTGAGACTTTATCAAAACAAAATTTACCCATAATGGAATTACACTCTACCACAGTGTCCAAGTTTTATTCTTATATCAATTAGCTGATATGCTGTTCATCTGAGGGGAGCATCTCACTGCTGTTAGATCCCTATTTGTTAGCAGTACGACTTCGCCCATAGACCTCTGTAACATACCGTCAACAACTTCCGCTATAATGATAATTGCTTATATTCTAACTGCTATCATCTAAACAATCTTCCTGAGAAGGTAGGATCTGCAGGAACATAAGCTCCCTCCAGTGTAGCTTGTTGGGTCATTTCGATATGCAATCCTCGCCACTTCATCGAAGTAAACAGCTGTCGGTCAGGAAAAAATGGATGGATGTTTCGTGGGTGATGAAGTAAAAATCTAAGTAGTGGCGAAATTCGAACCAGTGGCTTCCTAAGGGACTAATGATTATGATTACCGTTAATAGTGTATCTAAATATTTCGAAATAATGGGGAACATTGGCAGCTCAGGTGGATGATATTAAATTAGTTGTGTTCTCTGAGCTCGGTGGTTGAATGGATTGCGAATCTTTCATCGTCCCGCTTCTAGACAACATCACTTCAGTGCAGGTTTTAGTATGAAATGAACTCATTTAAATTCTCCACGAATGGTGTAATTGTATCTCCTGGTGACCAATGTCGTTATTCGTTGCTAATTTACGTCTCTATCAGTGGTGTCCATCTGGTAGGCATACACACTGTTTCCATTTCTGTTTAATTTCATCATAGATATGCGTGCTAATAGACTTAACCCTAACTGACTTCAGTGCCTCAGGGAGTGACTTGTTACTATCAGGGAATAATCTCGTTGACTTAGAATATGCAGATGATATAGTCCTCCCTCCTACGTGAAGACGCTGAAAAAAATGTATGGTCTTCTCAACACCTTGAGCAGCAGGAAATCTTTGAATGTTTGTCATGCAATTCGCTCCCTTTTTGTAATAGAAGATGATGCTACAGGACTCAACTGGACTACATCGACTCACTTCTAGCCTAAAGATAGGCAGGAGTGAAGTGATTGGTGGAGCGTGCTGACCACTTCACCAATTTGGGGAGTTGCAGCAACCTACCCTAGAGGGGGCTGATCACTGACGTAATCTCAGCATGGATACAGAAGGCTTATTTGGCACTTGCCAACCAACTTACGCCATCTCTGGCTTAGTAGACGTGATATCCGTCTGGCTGTCGAACAAAGGACATGTGTACTGCTCAGCAGTTCGCTCCATCTTCCTCCTCCTTTATGGCAGGCTGTGAGTGAGACATGACCATTGAAAGTGGAAGACATGAAAAGACAGGCTAGCTAGCTGTCTTTGATCATAAATGTCTGCGTCGTATCTCCCATTTTAGGTGGTATACTAGGGTGAGCAGTATTGAGGTTAGGCGTCGGTCGAGTGCTAGGTACGTGGGAGGTGAAATCCATCGACGAAGTTGTGAAGTTACATCGATTGAGACGGATGGTTAAGACATGCGTTACGCATACATCCCTCGACAACAGGCAATGCTAGCTGGCATAGGATGCATCAGGTTGGAAAAAAGTGAGCTAGTGGTGGTCAAACCAAAACATGGCTTCATCAGTCAATTAAATCCACAACAGTTACTTTGAGCCAGCCACGTAGGTAGGTGTAGACTGCGTGGCTGGTTTGGTTCCTCAATACGGTAAGAACCAAAGATGACTGGAGACAATTGTTGTTATGGCTAAAAATCGTTCTCAATGGCTGGTGCAGATGCATTCAATCTTTGTGATATATAATACCTTATAAAAATCTACTGTTCTTCCATATTAATATTCCTTTTGCCTCACATTTCTATTTATTATCTCTCTGTTTTGAATCTGTCTTAACTCTCTTCTCTTGCTCTGTGTGGTACATGGAGGGCGAGTGGTGAGTTGAACTGCTTCATATCCGTGCAAGCTTCTACTCTGAAACCAGTCAGTCAGTCAGACTCATCGGTAGTACACACCCACCGAGTTTCGAACTCCAGGACCTTCGGGTTACAAGAATAGCGAGCTCGTAGACCATCTAGCCACTTGGAGCTGACTCAATGGCCAGCTCATGAATTCAAACTTCTACCAATTAGTAGTATTTGGCGCGACCACCAACCAAGCAATTTTACATTTTGTAGTGAGTCATTAGTGAGCACGCCGAGTTGATTTTCAGGTAGTGGCTGAATGGTTAATGACATCGTCTTGTAAGCTGGAACTCTTGGGTTCTATCCCCCTTGGGGTCATCTGTTCGTACGATTGAAGAGTCCAAATCAAGGACGAAAGAGCTGCATATTACTACCCATTTTCCGGTGTTTATCTGAGGGAAAAGAGGCACTCAGTGGAAAGTTAGTCGTACAGAGACAAAAGAAATATTTCCGTAGCCGTGTCATCATAATATTTGAGTTTTAGATTAAAATTAAAATATTCCAAAGAAAATTAAGTAATGCAGAAACGCTTATCAGAGATAGAGACTTGGGCGAAATTAAGTAAATTGAGTGATGTAATATAACTAGGGGGATCGACTACAGTTCAAATAAAACTGAAAGAAGGGTAAGTCAAGTCCAGTGTTATAAAGAGTAAAGAAATGATATTAGTGGGAAAAAGGAGATTGAGAACGATGAGTCAGTTGTTTAAACCAATCAGGGTTCATTGTAAGTTCTATGACTGCCGAAATGCCCTCTGTTTGTTCAGTTCAGGATTTAGCAGTATTCGCTTGACATAGCTTTTGTGGTTTGAAGAATTACTGGACAGCTGTTTCACCTTAGTTTTCGGACTACTCATCGGCACGCATCCATGACCACTGCATCGTGGATCGAACTTAAGACCTTCTTCAGGTTGCAGTACCAAGCCTGCTGACAGTTCAACCATTGGGGCAGAATCTAATGGCTTGTAAATTTCAACTTTCGCATATTCATATCAAATGGATGAGAAAGTTCAAGAATTATTTCCGGTTAAGGGTCAAATTAATAAAATTAAAAATAGGAATTAAAATGCTATAATAAACAGGGGGACGGATAAAACTCAAACAAAGTAGCATAATAACTAAGAAGATTGACATTGTGCAATTGGGGGTTAGAAATGTAGAAATAACAAAATAGACAGGATATTTGGATAAAAAACTATTGTGATGAATAGTTGTTTATGCGATCAGGGATTAAATATGTAGAAATATTAAAATGACAAAATAAACAGGAATTTTGTATGTGAGGCTACTTTGTTTGGGTTTTATCCGTCCCCCTGATTGCATAAACAATTATTCATCACATTAGTTTTTTATCCAAATATCCTGTTATTTTGTTATTTTTACATTTCTAACCCCCAATTGCACAATGTCGATCTTCTTAGTTATTTTGCTACTTTGTTTGAGTTTTACCCATCCCCTGTTTATTATGGCACTCTAATTCCTAATTGCAATTTTTATTAATTTGACCCTTAACCGGAAATTATTCTGAAACTTTCCCATCCATTTGATATAAATACACGAATCTACACCCTAGATGATGATTTCGTCGAAAAGAAAATTTTCTTCGCTGCAACTGTCTTTTTATTCCCTGTGATCAAATATGTATATTCCGCCTATTCGCAATATGCATAACATAACCGCCAAACGATGTCATTGTCGAGTATCTGTCGTCACATCACCTAACTTGGTGAACCTTGCTAGTCACGACTTCACTCTGTAGAGTCAGCCATTAATAGCGAGCACTAGATTAATTTTCAAGTTTTGATTCTCAGAGATCTGATCTTTTGATTTCTTAAAAGCAATTAAGTCTGTTGTTTAAAATTAATCCTAATTTTCTGTCTCTCTTCCAAAATATTATTAGATGTCGAATACGTTATCGTTTGTTGGGACTGGACGAGACAGCCGCTGGAAATGTATGCATTAATACAGCATCATCGTATGACTTCATCAGTTCACCGTCCTCTTCTGCGTCTCCATTTTCTTCTAAAAGTCTTCCCGCAGTGAATGATTCACATATTGTAAATAGTCCAGGTAATCCACAGTCGCCATCAGCATCTTCAGCATCGTCAACATCATCGTCATCGTTTTCAGATCCTCAGCATTCTAAATATCAAGTAATGAAGCAGTTTAACCAACCAGTCGACAATGAAGTGGTCATTACCACTATGTATAATTCACACTTGAATTATCTACCCATAGAAGAGACATTAATACACAAACCGTCGGTTGGACCAATCCTTCTACATTTATTCATTTATTTTGCTATTAATCTCTTATATAATTCAATGTGTCTACTCGATCCATCAGTTAAGCGTAGTTGGTGGTATACTGTGAAAAGGTAAGTGGGCCTTTCTTGAAGCAGTTTTATCATAGTTTATTATTTATTTATTTATTTCATACATTTATTCCCCCTGATGGATTTGAATAAAGCAAAAAAGATAGTGGCAGCTTGTGCAGTATAATATGATACCATTATTATTTATTTCGTTGGCTTCTCATCACCTCATCTGCTCACAGCCTAAATAAATTATCATTAAGTTCATGTACAGAAAAGTTTTAACACACTTGCAAATTTTATATAATATCAGTTGACGAAAGGTTCCGAACTTAGTGAACAGTTCTCAGAAAATTACGCTTATATAGTTTTAACCCACAGAGTTCAAGTTTATACAAAATAAATGTATGCTTACAGTGGTAAAGGAGTTACGTAATACATACGAGAGATGGTTAAGATGATGAGTAACTAATAAATTAGGAAACAGTGTACTCAGTTCAAGTCAAATCATAGAAACAAGAGACAAGCAGAATTCCACTGTATCAAAGGGGTGAGGTGTGAGGTTAAAGCCAAAGATTACGTAATCATATGAAAAGGAAAATGAAGACATTCAATTGCCAGGATGGGCAAGGAAAGACTGATAACTGCTTCTTCTGTCTGAACACACATAAATCGGGCTTCAGACGTTTGATAGAGATTGCTTCGGCAAACTTGAGGAGAATTCAGCTTTTTTGTTTACTGATAATTTTAAAGGATTTTGCAATTTCCACCTCATGACCCGTATCAATGAAGGAGATGCCTAGTATGTGCACTATTTTAAGCGTTTGTTCCCTTGAAATATAGGCTTTTCGGTATATGTTCCTGCAGCCACATGTAAGTTTGTATACACAGTTGGAGTCAGCATCAGAATGGTATCTGTCGACCTTCGAGTGCACCAAAGAGCATGTTGTCGGATAGACGGGAACCAACTTAGCTGGAACATAGGCTCTGGTTAGTGACGTACTCAGTCTTCTGTTGACCATTGCTGCAATATTTTCACCTTCAAAATCAATCGAGTTGAATGAAGACAGGCTTTTTTCCCACTGTGATTTGTTTGATGTTTGGACCTTTACATCTTCTATATTTGTTAATGAATCTCTGTGGGTAAACGTTGCTTTTCAACATCTTTTCGAGAATAATCAGTTCTTTCTCTAATTTCTTCGTGTAGAGCATATTCTACTAGCTCTATTAAACAGAGTTTTGATTTATGCTCATCTATATCTATTTGGATAAAAGCTGTTAAAATGTAGGTATTTTCCATACCATGTCGGCTTTCAGGAAATTGACCTCAGTACATTGTTACCCAATTTATTAGTTACTCATCATCTTAACCATCTCTCGTCTGTATTACGTAACTCCTTTACCACTGTAAGCATACATTTATTTTGTATAAACTTGAACTCTGTGGGTTAAAACTATATAAGCGTAATTTTCTGAGAACTGTTCACTAAGTTCGGAACCTTTCGTCAACTGACATTATATAAAATTTGCAAGTGTGTTAAAACTTTTCTGTACATGAACTTAATGGTAATTTATTTAGGCTGTGAGCAGATGAGGTGATGAGAAGCCAACGAAATAAATAATAATGGTATCATATTATATTGCAAAAATTATTATTTCTTTATTTACTTGTTATTTTATTCCTTTACATTGCGAGTGGTACATAGGACTTTAAGCTACAGATTTGAAGTTTCGGTAGCAGTGGTTTAATTTTTCAGAGGGGTGGGGTTCCTAGCCTCACACCTATTTTTCTGTCTATACTGACCTTACTGTTGGCTTAGCGAGGTTTAGGAGTGAGTCTTAAGGGTGTCGAACCCGGACCACTTGTGTCGTGGTTAGTGAGCGTGCTATCACTAAACCACTGACACGCCATTACTGCTATTACTATTATTATTCAGTCATTGTTCAGTCAAAAGTTCATTCATGGGTCAGAGTAACTCACTAGTAATGTCTTCTACTGCAACACTGGTTCCCGTCGAATGCAAACCTCTGTAAGAATATTAACTCCTTCGAATTTGCAGTTACACCCTACTGAGGAAGTTCCAGTCAGTAGACAGGAAACCTAGGCACGGAGCTTCCTGCTGACAGTCTGCGACAATCTAACATCAACCCCAAAGTGCAATATGATAGTACGTCACATTACAAACTTTGACTAAAAGCATTCAGTTAACACTAAGGACTAGACAAGTGATATTTCTTACTCCCTAGTGATTCCATCAGACTCCTCAAATATCAGGTACTGACTAAAATAACTTGGTCGATGGTGACCATTAGTAGAATCCACCAAGCTTCTCATTTCATCCTATTTGGGACCTATCACAACTGGATGTACCTACATTCCCCTGTGAGTGACAGTGTTCTCACGGATACTCGAATTCAGCACACATCACTTCAAACCGCACAGCGTTCTCCACTAAACCATTTTGTCACCAGAGCCCCCACATCTTATGCAACGGGCATCAGTTATTACCTATTTTTTAATCCAATTTTAATTTCCCCCTTTGCATGATTAGACCAAAATATTCAGCCTCTGTTAACATGTCGCCTCCCAGTATAGACGCTTCGATGATGTTTGAGAATTAACATGGAGTCATTTGGTGGTTGATGAGTAGCTGTAGAATTTAGGATGTGCATTTCGTCTCGTCGCCTAACTTGTCGTCGAGTTAACAACGCGTTGAGGTTTGAAACTATGGGTACACTGGATTCGAATCCTAGTGGGAACAGTATCACTCATCAGGGAGTGCGGGTATATCCAGATGATGAGTCACAAGTGGGACGAAATGCGCGTCCTGTATCCTACTACTAGTTACCATCCACCAAATTTTTTTTGGGTTCGTTTACGTTCTATGTGGAATACTGGGCCTCAAGCTAGATCTTTGAAGTTAAGGTGTTGCAGTGGTTTTATTTTTCAGAAGGGTGGGTTTACTAGCCTCCCTCTCTACCTGCCTTACTATCAGCATAGTGAGATTTAGGAGTGCCCTGGCCGGGAGACGACGTATCAGCAGAAACTGAACATTTCGGTCGAATCAATCAAAAGATAAATCAAGGTTGACTTGAAAAGAAATGATATTGACTAGTTGTTAGTTAAACAAACCATATTCATATGCATGATTTTACCTTTACCTTTTTTGCTTTACTCTTATACTTTGCAGAATGATATTTTGGTGCCAACCAAAGAAGGCGAAGAAGAAGAGGAAGTTTCCATTATCGAACTTTGAAACTTTCCACTCCAATTTACATCATCATCATCACAGTCGACACCATCCTCACCATCGACATCGTGACCTGGATGTCGACCCTATTGACAACGTCTATGATGATGATGATGATCCTAATGTTGTCGATCATGATTACAAGGCGAAAATCATCGATTATCACGATAAAACTTCCAAGATCCCAACGACAGGAGGAGATATTTTATTCAATGATGAAAATGATCACTTGGTTAAATCGTATCTAAATCATATAACAATTGGATTTAGTTGGTGGGATCCTGGATTCTTTATCATTCCAACACCGATACTATCCAATTATGATCTATGGATAAAATGTAGAAGACGATTTTATTTGAACAAGAACAGTCAGGAAAAGAAGAAGAGATCTAAGCAGGGCAAAGAGAATATACTCTTGTCATCATCATCATCATTAAGAGGAACATCAACAGCCGCGGTGACAATACCTCTGCAAAATCCCGAATCAGTTAAGTGCAAGGTGAATCCTACATGTACTATAAGTAATGAAAATGCTAATACTACTCACAATAATAATAGTAGTAGTAGTATGTTCAATAATCCTCTCATCATGAAGAATGATCGTGACATAATTAATTTCTGTTTAAATAATGCTATTCAAAATCCGGATCAGCTTAATCAAATTATGATGGATCCACTTGAATCGTTGTTATTGTCAACTGCTGAGGCTGCTGCTAATCATCGAAACTTGTTCAACAATTCTGGTAGTGGTGGTGGTGGTGGTTTAGAGGATGGGTCACCTTTTCATCAATATTATCAACAAAGCCAACACCACCACGAACAACAACAGGCGGCACACTCAAAATTACCGGCATCGATTAATTTTGAAACAGTCCTTCAGATTCTACGTCAGTTACATCATCAGTTAATGACAACCGGGGGCCCTGAGATGGGAGATGATAATAATAATAATGCTGATAGTGTTAAAGCCTTCAGTAATATTGTTGGTGATGCAGCAGCGAATGTGACTGCTGCTACTACTAATGCTACAAGTAATAGCAGTAGTCTCACTAGTAGTAGTAGTAGTAATGGTAATAATACTCAGAAGAATCAAAATCAATTGGGGAATCATAATTTGATGAATATTTTATCTCATGATCCAAATTTGGTGGCTTCATTAACGGCTGCTGCCGCTTATGAACATTATCAAAAACAACTTTCAGAGTTGACTACAGTAAGTGTTGTTTTTTAATAATTTGACATAAATGAATACTTTTCAAGTATTGGTTTTCTTGTAGAGGCTTTTTGTTTGATTGGGTGGAGGATTTCATCATGAGCTGATGTCAGTCGGAGAGCCATTGGAATACCTGCCAGGGATGACTGTACAGTCAGCTGTTTCGTCAGTCTAGTTCGGGACTCTTCAGAAGTATACACCCACACCGCGGGATTCGAACCCAGGACCTTCTGGTCACAAGGCTAGCGAGCTTGTAGAAGGTTAAGCCACTGGGACCCAATCCAATGGTCCTGGTTTTCAACCCCTGTGGTGGGTGCGTACCGATGAAGAGTCCCAACAGACTAGGACGAAACAGCTGTCCAAAACTACCAGTTGGTTTTCCAATGGTTCTCTAACCAATGTCAGCTCATGATGAAATCCTCCAAGCAATCAAATAAAAAGTCTCTACAAAAAACCAAAGATTGAAAATTGATCTGATGCTCACTAGCTACTGGCCCTATTCAGGCAGTTAGCCTGGGGTTCTTCTGGGAAGCCGTGACCAACAAGGTACAGCAGGTTGAAAGTGAGGCAGTAACTCATCGAAGAAGACATTGCGGAGTGGTCGCTCTGTGTCATGAATTGGCAGAAGTTAGAATTCATGGGCCATTGTATCTGGTCCCAGTGGCTTAATGGCCTACGAGCTCGCTAGCCTTGTAACCAGAAGGTCCTGGGTTGGAACCCATGTTGTGGGTGCGTACAGATGAAGAGTTCCAAGCTAGGACGAAACAGACGTCCGGTACTCCCTAGTGGTTTTCCAATGGTTCTCTAACTGATGTCAGCTCATGGTGAAATCCTCCAATCAATAAAGGAATAACCTTTTTAGCTGAGGGAGGTTGTATCGCGTCTTTTTTAGAGGGATTCTGATTAAATTGTCGATACAGCTGTCTTAGACAGCTGTTACATTTCAGTTTGGAACTCTTCAGGTTGTTCTGCATCATGACTGTCTGTGTTTTAACATAGGACTTTTCACAGAAGTGGGACAGTTGAAGTTGTCTACCCTCCCTACCTAACACTCTGCGCCTATCCTCAGTATTACTCACCGTATTGTACCAGTTAACACGGGAGATAGAACGCAAACATCTGGGGTCAGTGACAGCTAACTTCTTTATGTCTTCCATATTTACTGGACGTGTCTAATAGCCATACCGGAGGACAGAATGTACTGCTACACTGTACACACACATCTTTTGATCGATAGCTAGCAGGATACAACGTTTATAGCAAAGATGATGTAAGATGATGAATGCCACACGAGCCTCTTGTATCCGTGTTGAGACTCTGTCAGTGATCAGCCTGTTGGTATTGATGCGACTGTTCAAATACCCTCAATCACTTCAATCCGTATATCTAAGCTAGAAGTCGGTGGAGACCAGTCCTTCAGTATCATCTTACTCTTGACAGGGGATGAATCACATGCTACAGATTCGGAGATTTTCTCTCGATGTGCATTTTAGTAGCATCTTTACCTAGAAGGACAACATCATCCACATACACTAATGAGGTGGGAGGACCATCTCCTAGTAACAAGTCAATCCCCAAGCCGGTAAAGTCAGTTTTAGGATCAATTTTATTCGCAAATGTATGGTGAAATTAAACAAAATTGAGGACAGTGGGCATCCTAAATGGACACCGCTACTTTTCATCACTTCAGATGACAACTCTCCGCAAGCTCTTACGTGGCTGTGTCAGTTCGAGTAGAGTGTCTTGCTTAGTAGGATATACTTCCTAGACATTGCCTTCATGACCAAACATTGTCATAGCACCTCTCGGTGCTGAATTCCACCTTTAGGTTAACAAATATGAGAAGTGTTGGACGCTGGTAAATATGCCTGTGTTCCAAAATCTATCAAAGAGTGAAGATGTGATCGATATACTTTTTTCCTTGCCTAAAGAATCCCGGGTTCTCTTGAGTCTGTTTCTCCCGAACCCCACTTAATCTGCGCACGACGATTGATCATGACCACATAAGAGATCGAATCTGTTGGCCTCGTATCCTACTCAATAGTCGCAGACTAGGATGAAACGGCTTTGTCTAGTGGTGTGTTCCTTGCATTTTCAGTGATTCATGAATAATCCTCATTCAAATATTAATGGAAAAAAACAGGTAGTTCAATGAAGAGGCCGTAAGGTCCTGTTTATATACAATTTTCTTCACCAAGGATGATGATAGTAACAAAAGTGATGGATTGTTATAATCAGAGCTCCTTCACTTATTTGGGAAGTATCGTTTCAACAACAGGCAGGCGGAACGGATGAAGATGTCAAAGTGAGAATCGGAAAGGCAAGATACGCCTTCAACAACCTGAAACCAGTTTAGAAATCTTCCGAACTCACTCAGCCAGCATAAACAATAGGATTCGGATTTTCAACACAGATGTGAAGTCGGTTCTTCTATACGGGTCAGAAACTTGCATTGTGTGTCACGAAAAGGATTTCCAACAGCCTGTTGCAGACTTTCATCAACAGATGCCTCTGTTCCATACTGAAGAACAAATGGCCAGGAAGAATTAGCAACAAGAAACTATGGGAACAAACCAACAAGCAAGAGCCGATTGCTCAACAAGTGGATATGTAAAAGAAAATGGAGATGGATCGGGCATCCATTGAGAAGGCCGCCGAATGACATCGCACGCAATGCAGGCCATTGATCGAGTGGAATCCCAGTGGGAAGCGACTAGTGGGTCGTCAGTGCGAGGGTGAAAGGGAGGAGATCGTGTGAGTTGGAGGAAATGAGAGAGATTTTGGTCAATCGTGAACCAAACTGAAGAGGATGGCAGAAAACAGAACAGAGTGTAGATGTGTTGTTGAAGCCCTATGTTCCACACGGAACGCAAGGGAATAATAATAATAGCTGCTGGTATTAATCAATACATAAGACAAGTTGAATACTTGTATAAGAGTTACTTAATACGATGCATATTTCTAATGGACGAGTTTTTATGAGGGCTTGATGTTACACTAGACTCCTAAAAATAAATAAAAGTTATCTCGAGTTTTAAAAAAGTCAAACTGGTAGAAAAGTGTGGGGTCATTACGATAATATTTGGAGTGATTGTGTTGTCTACAGAATTCCACCTGTTGTTCCTGAATACCTAAAGCTCCAACAGTACAAAAGCGACAAAAGCATATTGTCTTTAACAGGTCGCTATTCACTGTGTAGATCGCACTGATGGAGAAGTTTGTTGAAATAGAATGACCAGTATTGACACAGTGTGTTCAGTTATCGTACTCCTTGTAGAGCCAATGTTGCCTTCCTGCAACTATGTGGGATAATGTTCTTTTCAATCCATTTAGACAGGATACGCGTCAAACGATCAATAATTGAGGCACTACAGGAACAGGTTAACTGACATATATATACGTACATAAAAGTGATCAGATGCGAAATATTGTTATCCAGGTTTCTGCAAACCGGTGGACGACTACAGAATGAACACTATTCTTAGCGTTGTTATCATTGTTTGATTTGATGTTGGTTGATGACACAAAATCTATATTGAAAGGAAATAAATAATGATGTTTCTAAAAAAAGTTTATTATTAATTATTTTTTAGTCTGCAATGCTTTTTTCCTTCTTTTTTTATAGAGTATTTCACGTCGACGAAGTAGGCATAAACGATTGTTATCGAGTCGTACATCACGTAAGTTATTATGATTTCTATCATTATTATTATCATTGTAAACTGTATATAAATTCACCAGATGTCGGTCGAATTCATCAAATGAATACTCTAAATCCTTGTTTATTCCCTTAGGTTCCGAGTAGTACATAGGGCAGCGATTTCAACAACACATTTCCATTGCATCTTGTTCTCTTTAGCGCCGCTTTTTGGCTAGCTTTACGACTGTCCAATAGCTTTCATCTCATCCTTGTCACCCTCTATCCAACGGCCTAACTCATTTGTTCCTATTCGAGTTGCTCTCGAGCTATGACCTGATATGTAGTGCCACTTGACGGTCTTCTCACCGTACATCCAATCCACTGTCTCCAACTCCTTCAATATATTTGTTGGGTGACAGGTGCCATCCATCATTTTACTTACTAACCTATAATATTTCACAGCTTGTGATGTTGAAAGTATGATTTTAAACACCTTGGTTTATCCTCCGAATGTTTAATGCATGAGCTAATGAGTGAAACCTCCACGGGCCTTAGACATTTGTAATTTGGTTATCCTGACAAATTTATCAAGAAACACATGACAAAGAAAACGGAAAAGGACTACTTACTGTCTGTAAACAGGAAGCCTTTATGTATACGACTACAATTCATGGGCGATGTACCAAGCGAGATAATTACGAAGAAATTAAGAAAATCAGTTCAAAGAACTTTTAATGCTGGCGAACTACACGTATTATTCTCTCTCTACACGACCGATGGCGCTACCTCGACTGAAAGATGAAGTACCTAGACTAGCTAGCCACTTTAAATTGTATCTACCAATTCAACTGCGCTTTTGGTGGAGCGAGTTATATTGGTCGTTGCTCTAGGAACTTGATTTTTCGTGCTCGAGAATATATCCCATTATGGCTAAGTAAAGGTGTAGTTAAAACTATTAACAGCTCGATATTAGACCATCTGGTGCAAACCGGTCACAAAGCCAGCGTAGAAGAATCCTTCTCTATAATCTACCGGGTGCCTAACAAATTACCAAAATCCTCGAAGCACGGCATGCTCCAAACAGCAGAGGCTATTGCAATTCGCCTCGAAAAACCAGTGTTTTGTATGCAAAAGAGGCAAGTCCAGTCAGCCCCTACTACTGCCCTGGCCCTCGGTAGAAACTATAAACTCATGAATTTGTACTATTATCTTTCATAATTCTTCTGACATTCAGCTTATTTTATGTTGATGCTGTTCAGCTGTAATCTCTTGATATAATTGATTCGATGTTATTTAAACAAAATTAGTGTTGTTCATAACACTAATTCACTCATTCACTATAATGTATATATAACTGTAGAGCCTGATGATGAAGGGGTTATCGAAAAGAGTACTCTTTGTTCATTATCCATTCTTTTGAAAATTTTAATGGGAATTTTTAATCAATTATCATTCTTTTGGGCTGTGAGTGAAACATACAGCTTCAGCGCCACGTCTCCAGTTTACTCGGTTCTTCGCAGTCCCTTTTCACTGGCCCCACAACTGACCGACCATCAGCTCTCATCTTCTCAAACGATCTCCATGCCCCCGCACCCAGGTCCTATCAATGTTCAAATTGTTGTTTCACATTAGCGTTTCACTCAGTGATTCCTTTAGGGCGTGTCCTATTCATCTCCATTTTCCCCAGCCCATTTGTTGATCACTGCGTTCTTGGTTGATCTGTTGCCAGAGCTCTGTGTTGCTTACTCTTTCTGACCGACCGTCTTGTCTTCACTATGGAGTGAAGTGGGCAGCTTGTTTATGAAAGTGTGCAATATCCTGTTGTAAATGCTTCCGGTGAGGTGGCAAGTTTCTGAAGCGTATAGAAGCGTTGACTGACTTGACATTAGTGTTGGAAATCTGGTCATATATAGCTACAGTAACCCGGGAATTCCAACTTCCATTAATTATAGCTCTAGTGTCACCACCACTACTGAAGAAGGTGTGGCAAGGGGGAAAAGTACCAGCGGATTAGAGGAAAGGTTACCTATTCAAACTGCTAAAGAAAGGAGACTTAAGTCAATGCAAGAACTGGCGCGGAATTATGATCTTGTCTATCCCAAGCAAAATACTAAGCCACATCATCCTGGAGAGAATCAAACACGCCAACCTGGAACGAAAACTTCGACCAAAACAAGTTGGATTCAAGAGAAACAAGTCATGTATTGATCAAATCGCCACACTACGGATCATCATTGAACAAAGTTTGGAATGGCAGTCACCTCTCTATCTCAACTTCATCGACTTTGAAAAGGCCTTTGACAGCGTTGATCGAGAGGTGATTTGGCAACTACTTCGCTACTACGGGGTGCCACCGACAATTATACATCTCATCCAACAGTTGTACGACAATGCTACATGCCAAGTAATCCACAACGGGAGACTTACGGAATCATTCGAAGTGAAGACGGGAGTAAGACGAGACTTCCTACTATCGCCAGTGACTTTCCTGATTCCAGTAGATTGGATAATGTGACAGACAGCGGGCAGCGAGGAGACAGGCATAAAATGGGCACACACAAAAAACTTGGAGGATCTGGACTTCGCCGATGATATATGTCTGATTTCCCACAAACTGGAAGATATTCAAATGAAAAGCAACAATTTGTCAGAAGAAGCATCCAGAGAAGATAGGACATCAGGTGAACATAGAGAAAACAGAGGTGATGAAGATTCCTGACCAACACCAACAACAATATACAAAAATCAGCATAAATGGGAGGAACCTGAAAGAAACAACCTCCTTTACCTACTTGGGAAGCATTGTTTCAACTTCAGGCGGAACTGATGAGGATATCAAAGCAAGGATCGGGAAAGCAAGACAAGCCTTCATTACTCTCTCAAGCACTCAGCATGAAGATTAAGGTCCGAATTTTGAACTCCAATGTAAAATCAGTGCTACTATACGGATCAGAGACTTGGCACCACGTCACGAAGAGCACTTCGAAAAAACTACAGACCTTCATTAACAGTTGTCTTCGCTCAATACTCAAGATGAGATGGCCGGCCAGAAAATATCAGCAACAAGGATCTCTGTCAATGAACCAACCAACTCAGCAGGAACCAACTGTGCTACAAATATGCAGGAAGAAATGGAGGTGGATTGGTGGCCATACTCTGAGAAAACAAACCATCAGGTGACGTCACTCGCCAGGCTGTCAAGTGGCGCCCGAATGGGAAGCGGCGAGTCGGTCGTCAGTGCGAAAGTGGGGTGACATGGAGGAGGTGATGCGAAGAGGAGATGAAAACATGTAGGCAGACGTGGAGCCAGGTGAAAACGTTGGCAGAGAAGTGAACGCATTGCAGACTCGCGGCTGAAGCCTTATGTTCCTGTAGGAACTAAAGGAGGGAATAATAATAGTAATAATAATATCAATCACATTAATCAGGTTTGTTTTTTATCCGCGTTATTTATTCCCCTCACCCCTCTCACTCTCTGTCTCTCTGCGTCTTTTCTCATCCTCTAGTTCGTCGACATAGTCAATCGCGTAGTTTTTCTACAAATGGTTTATTCCTACCTGGATTAACATCCTCCTCATTAACAGCAGCAGCAGCAGCAGCAACTGCATCAACAATGAATTTAAAAGTGAAAGGAACAAGTTCATCATCAACTTGTTCTACAACAGCATCAAAAACAATTGATTATCATCCTGTACCGCCTACTACAACAATACAAACAGCAACACCTGCACCAGGTGGTGCTTCTTACAATATATTACAAGCTGCAGCTTCTATGATTTTAGCTGCAGCTGTTGCATCTTCTTCTACTGGTCCAAATACAAATAATTTCATTACTAACAGTAGTGATAATTTTCATAATAATAATACTAATAATATTCATACGAATAAACGTCGATTAAGTCAGTCGGGTTTCAGTGGAATTGATGCCTTCTCTACACATCAGTTGGTGGATAGTTCGAGTAGCACAAATTCAGGTGAGTTATGCAGTTCTTAATTAATAATATTAGAGCTCAGTTAATTAATTACCAGCCACTGGGCTTAGGAATCAAGTGGTGGTTTACGGGGATGTGATTTGTTTTCAGGATTTCATCATGAGCTGTCATCAGTTAGAGAAGCATTGGAAAACCTGGAAGCCAGTGGATCATGTCCCAGTGGCTTAATGGTCTACGAGCTCGCTAACCTTACAAACAGAAGGTCGTGGGTTCGAACCCTACCGCGGTGGATGTGTACTGATGAAGAGTCCCAAGCAAGGACGAAACGGTCAGCTGTCCCGTACTCTTAGGTTTTCCAGAATTTTCAGCATAATTTAGTGCATAATACGTTCTCTCTTCATCCAGAATCGATCTTCAAGTGAAGTAGCAATCTGTAGTATATCAAGTGATTCAGTGCTGTTCGATCTGAAACATAGAGAGATTAATCCCTTGCGATAGTTTCCCTTCGTCTCCGAGTAATACGCACACCGCGATACTTTGAAGACACCGAATTCAAAATGTACTTGAGTAGTACATTTTGCGACTCCTAGAATTAGAGGAGTATATGATACTCAGCAAACAGATATTATTTCGGTGATTTCATCTACAGAGGCTGCTGTACAATCACCTTTACACACAGAAGTTAACATATAAACAATTATTACTATTATTAATTAATTAACATTGAAGATGTGATAATAATTTTCAACTTAATATGAAATTTTGCAGGTATGAGTGAATATAGATCCCAAAGGAAGAGGCTTAGAAACAAGATTACACAGGGTTACAAAATAGTCGCATAATCCGGAAAACAGTTACTTTTTAACGACCACATGTGTGAACAGGATGGCCATGGAAGCATCGAATTGTAACGACAGAAGACAAGGGCCAGGCAGCAGATCATTTATGGAGAAAATCAACACATATTTATAGATCTTTATGTACATTATTATCAGCAGGGAAGTAACGCCTTCTGACTGGTTGTCTTCTCGCTCAAGGTTATTCGATATTGCTTGTGGCCGTTTCTCAGAAAGTTAAGCCATATATCTGCGAATCATATTTCCACACGTTAACTCCGCTGTGATTGGCTGGTGATTTTCTCAAGGTTAAGCTTTGTTATTGTTTTTCTCATGACCCTGATTTGGGACGTAAACATTGACGTAAATTGTTGTCTACAATTTTTGGCTTGTTCGCAGCCAGCTCTCACCACAATAATTTTTTTTAATAACTAGAAATGAAAAAAGTGGAAGCCAAGGTATCAAAATAAACTAGATCCATGTAAATGTAGAGAAGTTTAACTAGTTTCTTTTGACCACATACCTCTGGCTTCTTCCGTAATGCATATGGAGAGGAAATCTCCAGTACAAAGCAGTCAGAAGTTTGTAGGTAGATTTTTGTTCACCTTGTAAATGACTTTTAACGATGGATGGTGAATGTGTTGAGATTATTTGATAGGTGTTGGTGAACGAGGTGTTCAGTTATATCGCTTCCGATTGAACCATTGCCTCCTCTTTTCAATCATGCTGGGTAATATCCTGTATAACGCGACCAATTTACCTAACTATATAGCTATACAGAAGTACGTGAGTTCAGTGGTTGATTCAAGCAGGTCGCCAGTTTGACTAGATGTAACAAGGGAATCGTCTACTTAAAAGACTTTGGTAATATGCATAACTCATGGTGTGTTGAGAGCTGGCTGCTAGCTAAAATTGTAGACAGCAATTTACGTCAATGTTCACGTCCCGAATCAGGGTAGTTGGGAAAAGCAATAACGAAGCTTAACCTTGAGAAGATCACTAGCCAATCTCAGCGGAGTTAACGTGTGGAAATATGATTCGCAGGTATATGGCTTGATTTTCTGAGAAACGGTCACGAAGAGATAACAGAATGACCTTCAGCAAGAAAACAATCAATCAGAAGAGGTTGCTTCTCCGCTGTCAATAACGCTGATAATGATGTGCATAAAAATCCAGAAATACCTCTTGATTTTCTCAATAAACAATCTGTTACGAGGCCCTTGTCTTGTGTCGTTACAGTGGCGATAATAATAATAATGGCTTTATTCTGAACAGTGTTTATATAATGTACAGAATTATCAGAGGAGCTTATTACATGATATTTTCCCTTCTTCCAGTATCTTCAAATAAAAGATTTGATCGACAGTTCCATCTGACCCGAAGAGCGAATCAATCCATTATGTGATATCTCTTCTTTCTGTCTTTCGAGAATTACACGACGATATTTTGCTGCATGTGAACTATAAAAAGTTCAGGAGTACATTTTGTGAACCAAGGATACGACTCGGGAACGGTCATCTCATGTATTGGGTGGGATAAACTACCATCGAGGATGATGCTTTCTTGCATGTTTAATAGAAACTTGTGAAATAGCAGGTTGTAAATGTTTTAAATACTCACCAGAGTAAACAACACTACTACAGATCATACTTTATTTGATTTAAACAAACTGATTAACAGAAATTATATGCAATACGCAATGATGGAGGTTACTTTCGGTTTTAAGCAGGTCGCGGATTACCTATCAAGTAATTAATCCATGAAGTTTTTGGCGGCTGATTTAAACCAGCCATTTAGGATGGTGTAGACTGTCTGATTTAAAAATTACGGTCAACCGCGCAGATGCATTCACACTTTATAAACGCCTATGTCTATCGAATTTCGGTAAATTTGAACTTCTGTACTTTTGTGTAAAATTCTTTGTTGAAAACTGAGTCAGAGACGGAAAACTATTCACATCAACGAGTAGTACTCACCTCAAAGCGTACTAAAATTCTGGTTCATTACACCGGTTGAGATGGTTAAGACATGTGTTACGCATGCCAGCCTAGCCGTCGCCTTTCTAGACGCTAGGCGATGTTGACTGCCATAATACCAGGTTGGAAGAGAGCCAGTGGTGGTCAAAACAAAGCATGGCTTCATCAGTCAGTGAAATCCACAACAGTTAATTTAAGCCACGGTGGCTAGGGTGATGTCATCGGTTGATTAGGTCTTAATAAGCCAAGGGAGGGATAACGGCTGTACGAACTTCTTTTGAATGCATAGTTTAGGTTTAATAGTTCGAATGCCTAACGCCTCAGCTGTGTGCAGTAGACGAATAAGAAATCTATAGGAAAGATTCGGTGGGATACGATAAATTACCATGAAAGCTTTCGTTTTCTCCACTACATGACCACTGTCAACGAGATGTGAAGAAATGGAGTTACGGATTGTTTTTGTCTGTCCTTCGCCAAACCACCACGATGGGAGATGTTCACTAACACGTTGGCTAAGCTGTCCATTACGTCGTACGCCCACCATAACTGTCATCTCTTTCGGGAAATACACGACGACATTTTGTTGAATGCCAACTATAAAAAGGTCAGAAGTACATTTTGTGAATCAAGGATACCACTAGGGAACGACCATCTTATCTATTGGGATAGAAGTGCCATCAAGGATGATGCTTTACCCGCGTGTTTAATAGAAACTTGTGAATCACTAGGATGTAAATATTTTTAAAATAATTGCCAGAGTAAACAATACTATTACAGGTTATATTTTACTAGATTTAAACAAACTGAATAAGTGAAACTATATGTGCAGTACGTAATGATGGAGTGCGTCGGTGGTATAGCGGTTAGGACGCTCGCCGACCATGCACATGGCCCGGGGTTCGATCCCCGGCCGACGCACTCCTTTACCTCACTAAACCAGAAATAACGCTGGTAGAGAGGAAAGGTTGGGCATGAGGCTAGCGACCCCATCCTGTAAAATTAGCACTGCTACAGAAACTTCAAGCCATTAGCTTGAAGCCCTATGTTCCACTGGGAACGTGAAGGAATAAAAAAACGTATTGATGGAGGTTTCTTTCGGTAGCCAAAGGTTTGAACATGCCACCGTACCCCCCCTCCAAGAAAGAAACAACTTTTGAGAACATTGGTGATATAATCCATTTCAATAGAATAGTCAAATAATATCGCGTTTTGTCTGCTTCTCTGTTATTGTTGTGTTTTTTTTTCATTTAAAAGCTTTCGGTGGAAGTCAAATATCGTCTGCATCGTTTCGAAGTGCATTAACCAGTGCTGGCATACCTCATCATTACCAGCGTCATCATCGTCGACGTGACAGTAGTCATACTCGACCATCGTCGACATCTGAAGCTGCATTGATAAATAACATTAATAATCGTAGTACTCTCAATGAATTGAATCAGAATGTTGGTTGTGTTGACGACTCTACTGTTAAGAGCATCAATAGTAACAACAACAATAACAATAATAACACCAATAATATACATAATATGGGCAGTCGTATGTCCTCTCTACACTCAATCTCCTGTGCTTCATCATCCGGTGCTGAATCGTATAATTCCTATCGTTTGTTAATCAACCAAGCTGGTGCAAGTTGGCGAGAATTATGGCGTACACGTATGCTGTTAATGCATGTATTACGTTGGGCAGAGAATGTTGCACCGTTTATGCAACAAACAAATAATTCTGGTCCCATGAATAATGCTAATAATAATGCTAATAATAATGAATATAATCAATCATCCCAGACAAGTTTATCAAATTATGATGTACCGCAGGGACAGAGTGGTGGTGGTAGTAATACTATGGATTATGTTAAAACAACAACTGCTTCCACAGATAATATTTCAACTTCTTTTGGTGATTGTACCAATACTACTGTTAATAATATACCTAGTAGTATAAGTAGTAGTATGAATCATCCACAACAACCGTCAACATTTACTCCAAAAACTCTAGATGCTGGGAATGATTTCAATGCCCAGTTAGTTCAACTGATAATGTCTTTAATCGAACAACAACAGCAGCATTGTCAATCACAATCGGTAGTTACTTCTCCGAATATACCGGCTGGTAATCCATTCATGCAAACTACTAGTAATAATGTTGTTGATACAACTGGAAATAATCCCTTCATTGAACAAACCCACCAGTTGACATCGATGGATCCAATGATGGCGGCAGCGTTTGCTGCAGCTACAGCTGCGGCGACTGTCGCTTTAAAACAGCAGCAGCAACAGCATCAACAAGTTCTACGTCAATCATCCTTTTCTAATTTAGCGTCATCACCACCTACAGTCAATAGTAGTGGTGGTAGTAGCGGTGGTGGAACTACGACGACGATAACGACTACTCCTCCTACGACTGTCATTACAATGACTCCGAATAATTGTGTACAAAGGAATCAATCGTTTTGCTCCGGTACTGCTCCTTATCATCAATATCCATATTTGGTTAATTCACCGGTTGGACAGTCATCTTCATATGGAGTAATGGTAAGTTTTCTTCTTTTCCTGTGTGTGTTGGTTTGTTGTAGGGGGTCACGAATCGATTTCACAGTTTTAGAGAAGCATTGAAAACCATTCAGAGAGGGGTACTAGACAGCTAGTTGTTGTTGTTTCGTCCTTGTTTGGGACTTTTCATCCGCAGGCACCCATGTCACCACACATCTGGGATCGAATCCAGGACCTTCAGGTGTTATAAGGTGAATTTGTATATCGTTGAGTTGTCATTTGGGCTGAATCCAATGGCCCATCAACCTACACTTTAATAATAATAATAATCTACTTTATTCCAAAAACAGTACTTATAAAACAGATTAGAATTCTCAGTATTTGTCACATTATTGCATCTGATTTACTTAAAATATAAATAAAATTAAAACAAAAGTAACCAGAGGAATTTCTCCACGTTTACGATATGAATTCAAAAATATTCGAAGCACGAATTGAGAGTATTAAATATATAATAATACTAACAGTGAGTTTGTTTCAAACAGTATTGTCAATTGAGTTTGAAAATTTTAGCATGTTATAGATTATTGAATCAAAGGTTCTGTTGAAATAGTTTGGTGAGGGAAAATACAAAATTAGCATTTATAATACAACTTAAATGATGTTTACACTTATGAAAAAATAAACAAATAAAAACAAAAAGTTGAGTGTACTATAACTATAAGTACAATAACAATAAAGCTTGATGTTACAAGGGTGGAGGAAATGGTATATTTAGTGGTGCAAAGAAGGTTAGTTAGTTCATGCCTAACACTATTTTCATAACATAAAGTACGTGCCAAATATGGTATAGTAGAATTTCATAATTAGAAGTACGTGCATAAAGTCTTCTGAAAAGACTTCTTGTTTTACCTGAGGAGATACAAGGTTGGAGCTGCGGGTATGTAAAGTGGATGCTCACAGTCTGACAGAATTCCTTTGGCAAATTTGTTGCATGGCATCAAGTGCCTATCAGTGACAATGTCAACGATATGGCCCAATGGGATACCACTTTTCCCACTGACAGTCTTCAGAGTTTTACGAAGTATGACATAGTTTAACCGCTATCACTGCGATATGGAAGTGGGACCACCACGACATCAAGGTATCAGCTATCGGTCGAGTGTCTGTTTTCTATCTCTTGTGTTAGGTGGTATTGTGGTGAGAGCTGGCTGAGAATAACCTAAAATTGTAGACAACAATTTACGTCAATGTTCACGTCCTGAATCAGGGTAATGAGAAAAACGATAACGAAGCTTAACCTTGAGAAAATCACTAGCCAATCACAGCGGAGTTAACGTGTGCAAATACGATTCGCAGATATATGGCTTAACTTTCTATGAAACGGTCACAAGCAGTACAGAATAACCTTCAGCAAGAGAACAGCCAGTTAGAAGAGGTTGCTTCTCCGCTACCAATGACGCTGATAATAATGTACATAAAAATCTATAAATATCTCTTGATTTTTTTAATAAACGATCTGTTGCCTGGCCCTTGTCTTCTGCCGTTGCAGTATAATAGGTTGAGTAATATTGAGGTTAGGTTTAGAGTAGTGTGTTAGGTAAGGAAAGAGAATCTGTCGACGAGGTTGTGAAGCTACATCGATTGAGATAGCTGGGGCACATGTCGCCAATGCCTTTCTATCGCCTTACTCGACGGCCAGTGTTAGCTGACATTGGTTAGGTCGGGAAAAAAGCCAATGTTGGTCAAACGAAAACACGAAATCATTCTATGAAATCTTTGAAAGTGTGTTTAAGCCAGCTAGCCATATTGAGTGAGGTGTAGACTGGGTAGCTGGTTGGAGGGGGGTTCTCGGGATGGTAAGAACCATTGAAAGTTGGCGACAATTAGTGATACGGCTGGATATCTCTTCTCAATGGTGCAAATGTATTCCCTACCTGTGATCCCCCATATCTATAGAAGAAAGACCTTGTTTTGCTTCTCCCGAATCTCGTTTCTTTCTCTTTTTTTCTCCTTTGTTTACTTCATGGAGTATGGCAACTCGAACCGCTGGACATCTGTGCAAAGTTCTGTGTTGAAACATAGTCAGTCAGTCAGTCTGATTCTCTATGGAAAAGCTTTTATTTTTCTCCAATCACAAAGCTCTGTGTCTCTCTTGATATTGTGATGATACTTATTGATTTGGGGCATCTCTTCCACATTTTAGCCACAAAATATGATGAGTCAATTCCCGGGACAATACAACCCCACCAATATCAATCCACTGTGTTTCCCATCTAGTCCCAATGATCAAAAACATAATTCACCATCATGTCATCACCATCAAAATACTAATTCATCGCATAGAATATTTCCACCACAAGACTCAAGTCTTCCTCCCCCTCCTCCTCCTCCTCCTGCTCAATATTTAAATGTCACGCGTAGTCCACCAACTCATTTCGATGCAAGTCATCAAGCATCATCATCATCACCTGAACAGCATTTATACAACACTCCTAACCAGAGAAATGTTGTAATAAGGCGGCAAACAAGCGATTTCCCAGCCTACAGTAATCAATTAATATCTGAAGGGGATAATAATAGTTATCAGTGTACTATTGCTCCAGATCTTCTAATCGATCATGATCAAACAAATAATAATCATATTCGTGTGGGTTCAAATTGTTTACCACAGTACAGTCTTACAACAAGATCTCCATTAATCCCTGGACAACAACAACAACAGCAAGTGCCTCATTTCCTGCATCCTACATCAACTGTTCCTATGGTTATGACTTCTATGTCTATGTCGTCAGCTGTTATTCATCCTAATGCAAGTAACCCTGTTCCCCAGCCAGTGTTGTTCCCTGTACCGTCTACATCGTATCCAAGACAGCATACTTGTTCATCAATATCACCGAATGCTGCTGTAAGTTAAGGTTTATCTCCTTTTGCTATACTTTCTTTATTTGATTATTCTTTGATCATTGGTGTCTGTGTTCTATCTCCCGTGTGAAGTGGTATAATAAGGTGAGCAATACTGAGGTTAGACATCCGTCGAGTGCTAGGTAGGTGGGAGGGGAAATCAATCGACGAGGCTGTGAAGTAGCTACATCGACTGAGATGGTTAGGACATGTGTTACGTATGCCTAGTCATCGCCTTCCTCGACGACAGGCAATGTTAGCTGATATAGGGCCAGGCTGGAAAAGAGCTAGCGGCGGTCAAACGAAAAAATGGCTTCATCAGTCAATGAAATCTACAACAGTTAGTCTAAGCCACTTTGGAAGGTGTAGACTTCCTGGTTGGGGTCGTCGGGACGGTAAAAACCAATGTTTGGAAACAATTGGTGACATGGCTCAAAATTGTTCTCAATGGCTGGGGGAGATGCATCCACTCCTTGTGACTTATGATTTCCAATGTAACTGTTTTGTTCTTCGTTATTACTATTCCTTTGTCTCACACCTCTGTTTGCTGACCATATTATGCATTCCTTCTACTTTCTTCTCTTGCTTTGTGTGCTACAAGGAGGGAGTGTGGTGACTTGAACTGCCGCACATCAGTGCAAAGTTCTATGTCGAAAACAGACAGACTTTATTTTTTATTATTATTTACAAGACTGTTCACAAACTGATGTCAATTAAAGGACCATTGAAAGCCACCAGGGAGTGCTGAATACCTGACTGTTTCGTCCTTGTTGTTTAAGACTCTTTAGAAGTATGCATCCATCACCAGGATTCGGAGCCACGAACTTCTGGTTACAAGGCGACCTCATAGACTATTCAGTCACTGGCATCCCGATCCAGTGATCGATGACTTCCAACTTATGGCAGTTCGCGATATTAGAATAAGACATACAAAGCGAACAATATTGTTGTTTTGAATTAGATCTTCTTTTGGCTTTACTCTAATTTACATAGAGGTATATATAAAAATTTTAACCAATGACGGTGGTGATTTTGTGGATCAAATAATAATAATAATGTGGTAAATGTTTTGAACGAAATTAATAACGATGATTATAATGATAACAAAATATTGATAATAAGGTTTATACAGGTGGCGATAAGAAGAATAACTAAGGTGGTGAGTGATATGTGTATATATGTAGATGATTCAATACATAAATAAATTAGGTCAAATCTTAAAAGTTACGTAATACTAAAGCTGAAGTGGACAGATAATCAAACTTTAAATAAATATCATAAAAGTACGAAGGAGATGGAAAATAAGAAAGGGTGGGAGGGTTTTGAATAGAATTCACCTAGGCCAAGGGAGAGACAAAGGTAGAACAAACTTCTTTTGTATGCAAAGACAATGATTGTTCTCTCGAATTCCCATAGTTTCTTCGGCTATGTGTAAAAGACGGAATCGAATTCCGTCCGAAAGGCTCGATGGAATGCGATAGATAACTTTGAAGGCACTATTTTTGTCCACTTGGTGACCGCTATCATCAATCAAATAAGCCAAAATAGAACTTCTTATAGATTTTATTTGACCTTTTCCGAACCATCAAGGAATTCGAACCCACGTGCTACACACAGCCGAAACTATGGGAATTAATTCGAGAGAACAATCCTAGTCTTTGCATGTAAAAGAAGTTTGTTCTACCTTTGTCTCTCCCTTGCTTGCCTAGGTGAATTCTAATCAAAATACTCCCAGCCTTTCTTATTTTCCATTTTCTTCGTACTTTTAAGATATGTATTTAAACTCTGACTATCTGTCCACTTCACCTTTAGTATTACGCAACTTTAAAGATTTGACCTAATTTATTTATTTATTTATTGAATTGTCTACACATATCACTCATCACCTTCGTTATTCTTCTTATCGCCACCTGTATAAACCTTATTATCAATATTTTGTTATCATTATAATCATCGTTATTAATTTCGTTCAAAACATTTACCACATTACTATGATTATTATTTGATCCACAAAATCACCACCGTCATTGGTTAAATTCTGTTTTATATATAAATCTATGTTAATTGAAGTGAGGCCTGAAGAAGATCTAATTGAAAACAACAGCAATATTGTTCGCTTATATGTCTTGTTCTAATATTGACAATGGGAATATTTAAAAAGTTCGCGATATACTTAGCGTACCCACTAGTCGCCAGTATCACAGGCGACTTGGTGGACCCACTGGTTATTATTATTATTATCGTTATTTATGAAGAGGCTGTCTCATCTCTGACCCCAAATGTTTGCTGTCTATCTCCCGTGTCAGTTGGTTATAATATTGTAGCGAGTAAAATTGAGATTAAACGTAAAAGTAGTATTAGGTAAGGCGGGTAAGTCAATCGATGAGTTTGTGAAGCTACAGCGATTGAGATAGTTAGGACACGTGTGTTGCATAATGTTAGCCGAAGTACTATTAGGTTGGAATAGACGTAGGGGTGGTGTTGGTGGCGGCGGCTGTGAAACCAAAACATCGCATTAATCCGTGTTATCTCTGATTGTTCGTTTCAGCCATGCTGCACCGTGGCAGTGTAGATTGTCTAGCTAGAGTTCTTACAACTCCAGGAGCCAAACTCTGGAGATTACCGGTGATGTTTCACTATGGTTGTCAATAGTAGCGCAGATGTATTCACTCTTTGTAATGTGTTATGTAACTATTCCTTCTCCATTCGTACATTTCTACTTATTATAGTTATTTTGTAGATTGTTTCTCTACCTTTGTGTGGTACATGGCTTGTGGTAACGTGAAATGTAAGCACCCCTCTTTGCACAGTTAGTCATCACTGTTAAGATTTTGAAGCACCTCTGTATACTCGCATGAAAATTAAAAGTCAGCGTGAACGATGAATATTTTGGTGTTTTTCTTCAAAAGGAATTCTGTAGTTATAAAATAAAATAATAACCAGCCAGGCAGGTACGTGGTGTGGGGGCGGGGTACATTTGTTCTACGTAGACTATGATAGCTGATTTACAATCACTCAGTATATGTGTGAAACTTGGGCACTGAGGTAGTAAGTAATTCCTTATTAATTTGTTTATACATATATAATACATACAGTGAAACAGGTGTATTATTTACTGGATAACGAAGTTGCAAACACAATGTAGTACTGTTCATAATCATTTCATCAATTATAACCATACGACTTCGAAACTTGAGTTATATGGTTTTCTTTCTTCTCTCCTATTTGTCGTCGTAGGGGTAGTAGGCTTTTCTAGATATCTGGGTGAGCAGGTGATTTGATAAATAAAGCTTCCGTTATCAGTCTCTTCCTCCACCCTGTAACATTAAATTTTAGAACTGTCATCTTATCCCATCCCATCCTATGCTGTATGGTTGTGTGTAATTTCATGTAGTGAGTGCTATAGCTGAACTATTCTCCACATCTCGTATTATCTTATTCGGGTCAACTAATCTGGATGTAGCTACCAGGTTTTTATGCTCAGTTAGTTTAACTGACCCTATTCTACTACTTTGACCTATGTATTTGACCTGACAATCATCGCAGGCAGGGTGTCAAGGAGCTTAGCCCTAAGTTCCTATTGTAACGAAGACGCTTTGAACCGATAATGACTATGTACTTGTCTCGCCTTCAACTCCAAAGCAGCAGTGGTTGTAAGAAGAAAGTTTTATTGTTTGGCAATTAAAGTAAAGACAATTACAAGTCTGTAAACAAATGTTTTGTACAAAATGAGAAGGCACTTTTATTCGTATTCTCTTCTCGTCTTCAAACTTGCATACAGTTGAACCATTTGCGCCTTCGAGTTGCCCGCCAATGGTGACCAAGGTCAATGAACCAACGTTCAATGTTCATATTCCTTGACACAGGGTATGAGATAAACTAAATTGTTTTGTTTTAAAGGCTCCACAGGATTGATCCTTTAACCGAAAAAGCTTGTTTCTAATTGAGTTTGTGGGTTCTACATATTTGTTTCGCCGCTGAGTTTTCCGTTGCAGATCACTTGATATGTGTCATTGTCATATAGAGCCGTTGAATGAAGTTGATAAAGGTGTTTGAAGTACTGTACTCTCCGTAGTGTTGTAGCAGTTTTCAGATGACTCCTCGGTCAACATTGTCAAAGGTCTTTTTCATAGTCGATGAAATCCACTTCTTTTTATTCCTTCACGTTCTCAGTGGAACATAGAGCTTCAAACTACAGACTTAAAGTTTCGGTAGCAGTGGTGTTTATTGTTTTTGTGGGATGGGGTTGCTAGCCAGCCTCACATAGCCCAACCTTCCCTCTTTACCAGTCTTATTACTGGCTTAACCAGGTAAAGGAATGCGTCCAGTGGCTGGGGATCGAACCCCGAACCACATGTGGCGTGGTTGGAGAGCATTCTACCACTGTACCACCGTTAAAGATGAAAGGCTGGTCATGAGATTAGCATCACCAATCACTTCTGAAACTTCTAACTATTATTATTACGTACCGAGAACTTATTCATTGTTATGTATACATTAATTGCTCCCTTCTATCTTATTTCTTTTCCTATTTTTACTATAGTCTCGCCCAGATTCTCATGGTGTGATAAACAGACAGTTTTATAGTGAAGACAATCGTACAGCATCAAATCAAAAAAGATGCTCTCAGGGTAACTTTGTTTATACTGGCGTTGAAGGTATCGGTATCGACGTCGTTGGCAGTGTTGGTGGTAGTAATAATGATTCAGATGCATTTGACAGTGAAGATGAGGTAATCTCACTGACTGAAGATGATAATCCTGTTGATGGCTGTGGTGCTGCTCCCGCCGCTGCTGCTGATGATGATGGTCAGGTCAGCAATTCCAAGATAATAAACAATGAGGACATTGAGTTCTCTCAGAGACACCAACTGGGACACCAATTGCCTTCACATATCACTTATCACCACCATCACCGAACTAATGAAATCCATCCTCACCCCTATACTCATATGATTGGTAGTCATTCACATACGAATCCTTATTATATCTCTAATTTCACAAATCAAACAACAGCGACAATTGAATTACCACCTCCATTGATCACAACAGCGGCAACAGCAACAACGATATCCACATCATCAGATCTGATGCATACAAGATGTTATTCATTTATTGGACAAGATGATGGAGAAATATCTAGTGTTAGTCAAAGTGCTAGTCAAATTGTACCGAATGCATCCTCCTCTTTGTCCTCCTCCTCATCTTCTTCGTCGAACGATTCGCCATCCTCAGCATCTGCGCCACATTTATTATCACATTCCGCCAATAAATCACCACCTATCATCATCAAGGATGAGGAATATACTGGAACAACTGATACACCTGCTTCTAAGTCTATTGTTCCTAGAGAAGAAGTTAGTGATGACCACTGAAAAGAGTGAGGTGTATTTGTGTGTGTGTGTGTGTGTTGATTGCTTTTTGTGGACTTTCTTTACTAGCTTTATTCTCCATCCCGTCCCGTCCCGCCCCGCTCCCAACTCATCTCTTTTTTGTAAAATATTTCATATTGGCCTTAATTAATTAACGCCTTGATATGTGTGTGCGGGTGTGTTATCGATTTTTTTCTTTTTCATATTCAATGTTTCAACAGTTTTGTTGTTTGAATACGCTAATTACTATTACTACCAGTGAATGGAGGGAAATATGAATTATGGTGTGTATTTCGTAATCAATTAGGGGGGGAGGGAATTTAACCAATCAGTGCATTTCTTCTTCTTACTATTCACGATTTTTTTTAAAGAAAAATGATGACAATAATAATGATAATAATGCTATTATTTTCTAAAACTTTGTATATTAAAGCGCCAATTTTAAATGATCTATTCTTCTGATCATTTACTTTAATAATAATATTGCCTTCTTTCATCATCCGTGTGGAGTACTCTTCACATTGTTCATATTTAAATGTATGCTGCTGAAAGGTGTGTGTGTATTGAAGTAACTTGTATATGTGGTGACGGACGGACTGACTGACTCCACACTCTGCTGTGTTCCCGGTTTTGATTTAGGAGAATACGTTGTTGAAATGTACACAAGAAATTGACAAACTGCCTTTCTAGTGGTGTAATATATCATATCTTCTTCGTATATCCCTATTATTATTATTATTGTTATTATTAATATTATGAAACATTTTTGATAATTAGTGTTGTAATTATGGTGAGAGAAAAGGGTCAGATTTTCTCTAAAATAAAATTTATAACTGTAAATATATATAATTATAGGATAATTATGATGGGTTGCCCTTTTTTACTCACTGCTTACCAACTTCACTGTTGTGTTCCCTCTCAGAATCTTCTAAATGTTCGCTGAGCAGGAATCTTTGTCTGTTTAGCATGTGATCTGCTCATTATCAATCAAATGTAAACTGATGTTCTAGTACTGGTCTCCACTGACTCCTAAGGAGTGAGTGTTTCTTTTGGTTTAGGAAGTGTTGCATTGACCAACGAAATCTCAGCAGGAATACAAAAGGCTGGTGTGTGGAATTTGCTAACTTACCTCTCGGCATGTCTATTGTAAACATGATATCTGTCTACGACGTATCGAAGCATGCATGGTGCGTTGAGTAATGCTTCGCTGTGTCCTTCATTACAGCGGTAGGATATGGCCGTTAATAGTGATGAAAGATGTGAATAGGCTAGTTGTCTTTGACTTCAAGTGTTTAAGTCCTATTCCCCGTGTGAAGTGGTCTAATGCAGAGAGTAAAATCTAAGTTAGATAAGGAGGGAGGGAAAGTCAGTTGGTGGAGTTACGAAATTTTTATACAGCGAAAACAAAGAATTCAGCGAAGAAAGTTCCCTTTTTGACGATTTCATTTTCATAGCTGTAAAATCATATATATATATATATATATATATATATATATATATAATTTGCTTTATTCCAAAACAGTACTTGTGATACAGAATGGAATTCTCAGCATTTTTACTACAGTATTGCATCCAGTTAGTACATTATCAATAAATAGAATTCTACATAGGTTAAGGAAATCTCAGTTCATTATGACAACAACACATTGGCATGTCGGTAGCAAAGGTAAAGCTGAACAGTGTTTGAAGGTGTTCGAAAAGTAGATACTAGCATATTTACTGGCGTAAGCGGTAACAAAAAGGTCGAGATATACAGTGTGAAAGAACGAGTAAGAATGTTTTAAATAGAGTTTGTAAGGAAGAAAGAAACGAGGCAGCACATAACAGAAAAAAGAGAGAGAAAAGGAAAAGAAAGAAAGAAAACGTTGTACCTATAAATGATATGAGTTGGAAAGACGAGATCCAGTTGTTCTACTGACAATTTAATAAGTTATAATTCTCTCGCCTAATGCTTTCTTTATCGCACAGAAGACGAGCTAAGTAGGGTATGGTTGAGTTTTTGTACTTGCTGGTGCGAGCATATAGTTTTCTATATAGGCTTCTGGTTTTACCTGATGAGATGCAAAGGGAGAGTTGTGAGTGAAGAGAAACAATAACAATCAGTTTTCTTGTGCGTGTGTTAAAGTTTGACAGTGAGTGGAAACACTAAAGTGCGATAATATTGGTGTATGGGATTATGAGTCACAAATTGATTAGATATATGAATGATTAACTAACTAAATAAATTAATAGAGGTCAACCTAAAGTTCAGTAGACAAGTGCGAAATAGATGATAGGAAAACAAAGTACGTTCGGAAACGTGAATATGTGAATATAATATGATGGCGACATGACATGGATGAATGAGTGAATTGTTGTCAACATAGTAGACTAGATGAAAATATTACAATATTATTATTATTGTTGTTCCCTTGGGTTCCTAATAGAACATAGGGCTTCAACTGCACGTCTCCACTTGCTTCTGTCTTCTGCTGTATTTTTCACTTGCATCCATGGTAATCCATACTGTTTCAGTTCCTGTTCACACGATCTCCTCCATGTCACCCTTGGACGTCCCACTCGCCGCTTCCCTTTCGGGTTCCACTCGAGTGATGGCCTGACGCGCGATGTCACCCAGCGGCCTCCTCAGCGAGTGTCCAATCCATCTCCACTTTCTCCTGCATATTTGTTGAGCGATTGGTTCTTGTTTTGCTTCTTCCCATAGCTTCTTGTTTGTGATTCTTAACATAAATTGAAATAATACTAAGTACAACAAAAATGGAACACGGAATAAAGAAGGATAACAAAGTTGCTATGCGAATCACATAGTAAGATGAAGACCATGGTGACGAGAGAGATCGTACAAATTGTTTTTTGTACACAAACTTCTGGCTTTATGTTATGCATTTCCAAAGCCTTTGCTATACAAAGCAAATGCAGTCGTGCGCTCCTTTTCGGCCAACATTGTCGAACTTTGTAGACGATATTAAATGATGTGGCAGATGCTGCGTGGTGGTCAGTATCCACAATATGTTGCAATATGGATGAATTAATACCTCTGTGTTCTCCTTTGCTTAGCCAAACTGGGAGGTGCTCTCGAAGGCGGCGGTGGGATATGTTTTTCGACGGATGTCAAAAATAGAAGTTATTTGCATACAGTCGACTAAATGCGATGCTTATTATTTCCTTTTGTTGATCGTACCGTAACAGGGGAAGACAAGAGATTTGCCGGTAACGGACTTTTTTATCAAGGGAAACACACCATATAGCCACAGCATTTTAAGGTCAGTGGGTAGTAAACTCCTTTGGTTGGTTGTTGATTTTTTGAAGGTTGTTGTCCAATGAGATTATTTCCTGACCACAACGTAAACTAAACCCAGATTCGATGAATAAACACTTCTACTTCTGTAGCCATTGACTTAAAGTGATTTTTGTTAAATTTTGACTGCTTTCTATCAATCTGCATTTACTATCGGTCGGTCGGTCGGTCAGTTCTCGACATAGAACTTTGCACATATGTGCAGCAGTTCAAGTCGCCATACTCCACTCCATGTAGCACACAAAGCAGAGAAGAAAGTAGAAGAAATGCATAATATAGACAGTAAACAGAGGTGTGAGACAAAGGAATAGTAATAACGGGAATAAAACAATTTCATTGAAAATCACAAGTCACAAGGAGTGGATGCATCTGCGCCACTGAGAACGATTTTGAGCCATGTCACCAATTGTTTCCAACCATTGGTTTTTACCGTCCCGAGGACCCCAACCAGTCAGGAAGTCTACACCTTCCTACGTGACTGACCTAAACTTAATGTTGTGGATTTCATTGACTGGTACCATGTTTTGGTTTGACCACCACTGGCTCTTTTCCAGCCTGACCCTATGTCAGCTAACATTGCCCGTCGAGTAAGGCGATGGCTAGACATGCGTAACACATGTCCCAAGCATCTCAGTCGATGTAATTTCACAGTCTCGTCTATTGATTTCCCCGCCTTACCTAGCACTCGACTGATGCCTAACCTCAATATTGCTCACGTTATTATACCACTTCACGCGGGAGATAGAACGCAGACACCTATGATCGAAGACAGTTAATCTTTTCATGTCTTTCACTCTCAATGGCCAGGTCTCGCTCACAGCTACAAAGGAGGACAGGGCGAATTGCTGAGCAGTACACCCGCTTTTTGGTCGATAGTCGGATACCACGTCTACGCCAGAGACGGCGTAAACTGGCATATGCGAAACTAGCCCTCTGTATTCGTACTGAGATTTCGTCAGAGATCAACCCGTTGGGACTGATGGTACTTCTCAAGTAAGTGAAGCGGTCAACGTGCCCTACCACTTCACTTCCTAAACTAGGAGTCAGTGTAGTCCAGTCCCGTAACGTCATCTTACATTTGGCAGGAGCGAATCGCATGCCAAACATTCGTAGATTGCAGCTCAAGGTGTTCAGAAGACTCTGCCTAGGAGACAGGACTATATCATCTGCATATTCTAAGTCAACGAGATTATTCCCTGATAGCAAGTCAATTAACCCCTGAGTCGCTGAAGTGCGTTAGGGTTAAGTGCCTTAGTACATCTATGATGAAATTAAATAGAAATGTGGATAATGGGCATCGCTGATGGACACCACTAGTCGTCACCACTTCAGCCCTCACCTGGCTGCATGAGTTCGAGTAGAGTCTCTTGATCAGTGCAATGTATTTTTTCGGCATTCCCTTTACAGTCAGGCTTCGACAGAGAACCTCTCGGTCAACAGAATCGAATGCCGCCACACTGACTTCAGGTTAAAGAAAGTTTATGTTGCTTCCCAGGACCTGTTTTCAACATCCTCACCTTTACAATCTATAGTTGAAACGATGCTGCCTTGATAATTGAAAGAAGTAACCCCCTTTATATTTCTCCTATTGATAATAATTGCTGCTTTTTACTATGTTTTCTCTATATTTACTCGAAGTTCTGTCTTTGCTGGTCTCTTTGTCAAATTGTTGTTTGTCGCCTCTTTTGTGTATGGCGTTATATATCAATCATCCGCGAAATCCGGATCCTCTAGAGTCTTCTTATCAGCCCAGCATATTCATGTCTACTAGCTCTTATGACGACGTGCTGCATGACCCAGTCCACCACAATGAGGAATATCACTACTAGTGAGCAATAGTAGGCAACAGTGTGAGTCGGTGGTACAGCGGTAGAGTGTCCAGCAACCACGCCGCATATGGTTCGGGGTTCGATCCCCGCCCACCGGATGCACTCCTTTACTTCTCTAAGCCAGTAATAAGACTGGTAAATTGGGAAGGTTGAACATTAGGCTGGTTAGCAACCCCATCCCGAAAGAAAATAGGCAGCATCCTTGTCTTACTCCTGTCTTCTCTTCAGAGGCTTCATTGAGCTTTCTATCGTGAATCTCTTCACATCTGGTATCATCATATATGGCAGCTGTTGAATGTGACTGATAAGTTTTAACGGGACTGTTGAGATCCATATCTTGTCCCTCATTCTGAGTACTTAATCACATCTCCACATTGATTTCAAAGTAATTATAAACACTGCCTTTTTGATTATTCTAAAATAAGTGAGTCATTACAAGTCTATCATATCAGATAATATATACTACTTAAAAAGTTTTTTTAGTAGCATACACGCCATATATATGTGTATGTATACACTTAGAAGTACTTCCATCTATTACACACTTAACAATGTTGCTTTTATCATGCAAATTTGTTAGCGTT